ATTCTAAGGCAACGACGCAACGTCGTAACTTAAAATACCTTATAACTGAGTTCGAAAATAAAGTAAAATTAAAATGTTTTATTATGACACAATTTAGTACACTGAATTAGTATATTTATTAAATCCATTTATTTAATGACTTACCATATGGTTTTATAAAAAAATAAAATGATAAAAACACGAAAATGGGGAAAAAAAAATTAAGCCGAAAACATATTTTTCGTATACAAGCAATAAAACTTTTGAGTTTAATTGTCTTAGTGATAAAAAAAAAGGATAAAAAAAAAATATGCAATTATTCATGCTCGATTTTGTTTAATTTTTAAGTTACTCGTTTTAAATGATAGGATGGTACTATGTATGTATTATGAAACCGGGCCGAACACCCATTTAGCGACAGTTTTGTATGAGAAGCGATCGGTATCGCTTGATTTGTTGACTTCGTGGTACAAGTGGGTTGAATGACCTTTATTGCACGTTTATTTGGCACGGACAAAATATGTTTAGCTTTAGTAAAATAAAGAAAATATAACATTTTGAGGAATTTACGTGGGCAGTTCATGAAATTCAATTAATACTGTATGAAAAATCTGAAAAATATATTCATAAATTTAACACGAGGACGCTAATGGCTTATCTTTTCTTCTATACTTCAACTGACTGCTCCGTCAGATTAAATCTAGTATAAAAAAGATACTCTAGGGATTAATTCCAAAAGCTCAAAAATAATGCACACCTGTTTTCACTAACCTAGAATAAGTAATAAACTTAACTAGGAAACGCCTAATCTTACGAATCGCTTAAGCAGATTCATTTATGCAAATGCCAAGCACAAGGCACCGCTTAACGCATATCATGTCGGTACCTAGGTGGTTCCTAGTAATTGGCGAAATACATTTTAACCATAGGCGATTCCTTAATATTTAGGCAATAGATTTGGACGAATCATAAGTTTAATGAAATAATTGCATTAGTAGGTTCTCACTTGACCATTATGTAAGTATCAGTAAAATAAAAAAAATTACTGTTTTTGAAAAAAGAAAACGTACTTCTACGAAAAAGTGAGAAATTATACTTATCATAAAATATTTAAAGTCGAGGAATTAACATTTGATAACATACAGAAAACCTCCGCCCCATTTCAAGAAATTTGAATATATAAATCACTATTTAAAGTTATTAATTAAAGTATTCATTTCTTACTTTTCGACGTATGTAGTCAATTCTATTTTTTCAACAGTAAAGAATTGTGTACCTGTTATAGTACTTTATTTCGATCTAAAAGTTTTTGGCCCACTTTCAAAGTATTATTAATGGGAAGTTCTAATACAACGAAAATTTAATGGACTCTTTTATTACTTACGTACAACATTTGGTTACATTCATGAAGAAAACATTAATCGTGATGTTGATATCCATTATAACATCACTTGATACCAATCTTAATGAAAGAGTGACATTAAACTCTTTCTAAAATGCATTGTGATAGTTTCCCTTTGGAAGCCCATTAGCCTACAAAATGAGACAGATTAATTCACAATCTTAGGCAATTCTTCTACGAGGACATCGACGCGCACTTGTTCAGTACTAATTATTACGGACGTCATCAATCTTCGTGGAAGAACTGTCTAGTAACTGATGTTTATGTCCAAGTCAATAAGGTTCATAATAATATTCATTACATGTGGATCAAAACCAAACGTAATATGATACAAAATTTTCAAAATGTTGGAACCATGTTAGATTAAATTGACCCTTATCGCACTGTACACAAATTTAATAATCCCTCACATATTATAATACATTTAAAACATATCAAAAAGCGACCGTCACAAAGAATTAATATTAGTTCTTTTGCATTTTGGGGAATGTTTCACATATTATCATGAAGTATGCAATTAATTTTATATTGTGCTTAATATACAATAGCGTGTTCAATGATAGCAGATGGGCAACAAAAATAATACTTTTGCCACTCTTATATGGCACAAGTTATATACTCATAGCAGCATGTCAGTTTACAACAAATTGTATTATTATGTTGTCTATTTCGTTCCTTAGTTTCATAAAAGAAAAGGACATGTAGCATAACTCAGAACCGGTAATTTTTTATTTAAATATATACAAAAAGTCCATAACCCCAAAACACGCAATATTTTGTACTAATAAAGAAAACATTAAAATAGTCGCAAATATTATTAATTACATACATTAATATGTACAGAAATTAATCTAATGTAACAATTATACAAAAACTAATCGATAATTCAGTCAATTAGTAAAATACAATATCATCATAACATGATCTGATGATTTTATAACATGTTTATAAAAAAAAAACTTAAGATGCATGACAGTGTCACATTATACTTATGAATTTTGGATAATATAGGGTGAAAACAATTTTCTTTTTATAAACGCATTTTATTTTTATAATATAATGTTTGGAATTATAAATGTTCAAACACGTGTGTAAAATATCATCTTGTGTGCATTCTTCTTGCAATATTTGTTAATCGTTATATTATTTAGATATAGACTGTCCCAATTATCAATATAAATTCAAAAATTTTATAGCTTAATGTCCAAACTTAACATAATCTTTCCACCATTTTATTATATTAGAATATTACAAATAAAATAAAATGGTGGAAAGATTATGGTGTGTTTAGGCTCTGTTTTGTCATTAATTTGTATAGTAATGCAATTCAGTTAGAAATAATAATAATTAGTACACTCGCGCTTACTTTTTTCTTGGGTTCTAAATAAGTTGGCAACTGTTCCTCAGTTATGTACTAGAGGCAATTATTCTTGCCTACAATATTACGTTTTGTAGCCTCCAGCCTAGCAGTGCTTATTGGCGGAATATATTTGAAACATTTTAAACAGTGTGCATTGCAAAATGGAAATAATATAACCGCACAGCGAGTAAAATATCATTTTGACATTAGGATATAAGCAAGCGTCAATACGTACAATATTTTTTTTAGAAAAGATCACACAAATAATTAAAATATTTTCTTATAAAAAATTATTCATAATCATGACCAAAAGAGAAGTGTAAATGCTTAGGTACAATAAAATAGAACAGTTATAATTTTATTTATGTTTCCATTTAATAATATAGTAGACAAGACTACATATGTAGTAAATTATAAAATAATTAAAATGTGTAATAGTTTGTGTAGAAAATCATACATATGTAACAAGACTGGTTACAAATGTACAGAAATCAATTATCTAGATATTAACAACAACAGATTTTTAACGATCCATGATTTAATTAAATATACACACATGGCGTAAATTACATGGCCTATAATTTATAAGCATTGTATATGTAAAATTTACTTTTTGTACATGGAAATATTTTACATTATAAAGTCTTCCGTTCATAAGATTATGCGAGTTGGTATTTTGTTTTTAATAATAATTTTATATAATGCTATACTAATTTTTAGTCTGTCAAGTGATCAGCAAATAATTTAGGATTCCACCGGTTGTTTACACATTAATAAATAGGAATTTACGTCGTATTAACAGATTTTTCTTTCATGATAATGAATGACTAGTCTACAGGGACCACAATTTTCTAACAATTTATTATAATTAACAAATATTTTTCAATAAAAATAATAATATTCTACAAAAATTCTATCCATATTATAGACAAAAGTAAAAAGACTGACAAATACGGTTCGTTCATATCTACAATCACGGCTAAGTAAAACGTAACACAGATATTATTTTTTACATATATCCGTAGGTTCGCATTACGAAACAATTAAGACAAAATATATTTTCGTCAAATACACATTTTTTTTGTGGTCGTATTGTACATGCGAATAACTATAAACTTATACGCAAAAAAACCAACAACTATTTCTATATAATTGTCGCTAGCGCAAATAAAACATTCACACTGAATATTAGCTGCTGCCGTCTCACGCGGTAGTTGTGACTAATTTATAAATATAAATTAAGAATCCGACAAGTGAAACTGTAACAGACAATCTATTTACCTCTATCAAGGTTTATTTAATTGAATTTTTTTATAGCTAGCAGTTTACTGTTGATAGAGGGGAATAGATTGCCTGATTCATAGTTTTAGCGCTGGTACGTACGATATCTATAGATTTGGACGTTTTGTGTGCTGGTTCCTCGATCAAGCTGTTTTGAAACAAGTGAAGTTTGCATATATTTCAATTTATCGTTTGGTTACTGTTGCAATTGCATAAGTTTTTAATGCACTATCGAACTAGAGATTCAGAATCATTTACTTGCTTATTTGAAATTGATAATGCCGTTAAATAAATTTCTTTAATATAACAAATCGTTTTATTTTAGTAAGACAGCCAGTCAATCTTTAAACATATTTACAACTTAATTAATAAGATTATAATTATTTGAAGCGTCTAAGTTCACAAGTCCAACTTCACACACGGAACACCAACCAACCATCACCACAATCGATTCAACGTTGGCCATCTATATCCGATCCAACAATACTGATAGTACTTTATGTCATATAAGATATAAACTGCGCGTGACATTTTACGCCGTAGTCTTTCTTCTTAAACTCTCCGGGACAATCGATCCAGTCAATTGCAGTAAGGTTAGCGCGTAAGATTAAAATAAGAACAACGAGACAAAACCAGTGACTGTCGAGTCTATTTTGAATTCGTTATTCATGTTTTAAAGTATCTGCCGCTATTAAGGCCCGCGTTACAATTAGGCCTATATTTGAAAATTCGTACTCTAATACTTCTATTCCTGTTCAATCTTTACTCACACATGCATAAAAGCGAATCTTGTGTGCTATGCTTGTGTAAGTGAAGCTTGAACATGAATAGAGCTGTATCAGCACGAAATTTTCACAGGTTGACCTTATTACAACCAGGTTCTTAATTATCGCAAAATACCTCAATAATTATCGCGCTTGGCCAACGATTTCAATTCACACGTTTCGTTCGCCGCGTTCGTTTCCGCGCAGACTTGCGTCATATATGCACGGGCACGTGAAGCAGTAGATCGTTGCGACGGGGAAACTCGAGGGCGCACATCTCGCATCTGAACGGCCCGCCGGCGTCAACGCGCGGAGGAGACGTGGGTGGGGACGGAGTGGCCGGTGGGGGGGACGCGGGCGGGGATGGCGTCGCCGGGGGTGGGGACGGGGACGGTAACGAGGCGGGGGGCGGTGAGGGGGCGGCGCGGCGTCCGGTGACGGGCGAGGGCGGCCTGATAGCGCGCAGGTCGTCCGCGGGGTGACGAGGAGGCCTACGTTGACGGACCTGCTCGGAACATTAGTAGGTTTGCTATAAATTTAAAAAGGTTTTCAGGAGATGAATAAATTTCTTGATGTAAATTCAGAGCTTTCATTGGATTAATATTGCAAGCAAAAAGAAACATTATGTGTTTAATAAAAAAAAAGTACGTCGACTGAATAAAAGTACGACATATCAATGTAAATTATAAAATAGTTGCGACAAAAATCATAACTCAAAATAAACTAATAAAATGTATAAAAAAAAATGATCTTCTGATTCTTGATAAAATCGTGTCAATAACAATATGTATAAATAAACCAGTCGTTTCCGTTGTATCACGTTGTATGTAGTTTTAAAACTAAAAACTACAAAACACTTTGTATTTATCATGTATTGCGTGACTCACCTGTTTGGTGCGGGGCCGTGGATCCTCGGTGTGTATCATGCGGGGGCGGGGCGTCGGCGGGGGCGGGGCGCGCCGCCTCCTGCGGCGGGGCTCCAGCGCGGGCGGGGAGCGGGGTGACGGTGGGGCGGGCGAGAGGGGCGGGGCCGGCGAGCGGGGCGGAGTCGCCGAGCGGGCGGGAGACGGGGAACGAGACATGGAACCGCGCTCCCACTCGCGCGCCGGCGAACTTTCAGTCTTCAGTTTCCGTCGACGCTTATATTTACGGGGGCCAGTCTGTACATGACATAAAATAAAGCTATAGGCCGTTTCACATAGCACAGGTGCGGTGACATTTGTTAACAAATCCACTTCACGCAATTTGTATTACCAAATAATTAAAAAAATCATCATTATAAAAAATTGTTTGGCAGTGTATATATTAAATATAAGTTTAAAACTCACGAAAATTGGAACGTTTATTGTAATGGGGTTTTGCATCAATAAAATTATTTTAGTCGAAATATGTATTCGGTGGTATATGTATATACAATTTTAAATTATTGTTGTCGTCAATACGAATCTTATTGATGAATAAATGTCATTCTAAAACCCTGTTTAATACATTGATCATAAAATCGATTTTCGCTATTATAAATGAACTCATAGTTTTTGTACATATATTTTTTTTATTACCACATCACTAAAAGCTTCAAATCCCAAATCACCACAATGGGTATGGTGCTATGTGAAAATTATTATAGCGAAACACCATAAACCAATCTGATTACAAAGGCGAACTAATACCGTTGATTAAGAAGGAGAGCAAAACCATATAATGCTGTTGGATAATAATAAGATTATAAACATAACATATCGTAAAGGATCAAATTATGGGTAACCTCTTTTCATCGTATTCGTTGTAAATCTAAACAAACATCAATGTTTAGAACACAACAGTCTAATAATATCACACCGTTAGAATATACGTAATTAATGAAAGAATTATTTCATAATTTAGTATAAGTACCTGAGGTTGTCGTTTTAACGCCGTATTCACATCGCAATGTTGTATTAGATGCTGCACTAAATCTGCACTGGAATGTAACGTTCGTCCGCATACTACACAGCTGTACGCGGGACCACCTGTTAATATGAGTAAATATCGAAATAAATAAACAAAAGTTCAGAAACAAATGCGATAATGTGTTTGACTTTTCACATAGACAAAGTCGCGTGTAGACAGGTGATTTGAAATCAATAGGGTAATTTCGGTAGTGAACAATACCTATACTCCATTCATTATAGCATTAGACAGAAGTTAAATAAGGTTCTTTTTATGGTATACTTTGTGACAAAATATTAACAATCATGTTACTCTTGAGAATGACGGCTTATTTGCTACATATCCACTTAAATACCAGCTGCTACACTTAACAATTGTCGTTTAAGCTACCTGTTAAACAAAATTATGAGTATTTGACTAACTTAAAAGATTTAATAACTTTTACAATAAAAAGTGTTCATCTTAAAGAACCTAGAGAAGCAGGGTTGGATACTCTCGGCACGATTCTCAAGTCACTATTACTCTACCAAATTTAAAATGTTGCTTACCCTTCAATCGCTACCGTAGTACAGCTTTTTAATTTTGTCAGATTAGGATGTATTCATAATAGTCAAAATACGTAATCTGAGATTCTCATTAATTGTGAATGTTATTGCCTTTCTTGTTGTTTTATCGTATTCGGTGATTAAGTTGTTATTGTATTATAGTTGTTCTCTTATAGTTTTGTTTTAATTGTTATCTTTTTGAAGTTAAGTTTTGCTAAATATAGACGATTCCGGTTCAGGTCTGATTGGCCTATAACAATTACCTCTGACATTTCAGGAAGTTTTTCCAATATCTTAATCAATAATATCTGAATAAATGTTATAAAAGTAATAATAAAAATTTCATTTTGTTTTTTTTCCTGGGCATAAATATAACTAAATTCTATTCTAATTATACACTTAAAATTAGAATTTATCAACACAACAGATAGATAGTTATAATTCCATATTGGCTTGGGAGTAAAAGATGAATTTAGAAATTCTAGCCTTATTGCAAAAGAAAATGGAAAATTGCCCAACTCTGTCAGACTACTTAACGTTCAAAGTTTCAACAAAACTATTATATATATTTTTAAAATTTATCTTGAAAATAAAATGTTCTGCACTGCTGTTTCTCTGATCCTCTTTTTTCTAATGTTATAATGAATGGAGTATAAGTCACGAAATTGCAAGACTAAATATACATCGTAATAGACATAGAAATTTTGATGTTGAGTCCTAAAATCACAATATCATCTTAAAATTAAAAGTCGTGACTTTTTGTCTGTGTGTCACGTGACTTGAAACATGGCCAGATATTGTGTGACGTCATTGTGGCGACAACTCTCAGATTAGTCATAAAGATATGTCTTAAAAATTATAAGTCAAATTCCTAGATGCTGTTGCTCTTAGCTTATTTATATCTTTTTATTTAGAAATTTATTGTTAGATGGCATTGTTCTTTTTATTAACATCTAATCTAAGCATCTGTTTTGTGTACATATCACAATGACGTCATGAATATGTCGGTTAAAAGATTTTAAAAGTTAAAATTTTTATTTAATTTTAAGGCTCTTGTTTAACGTGTTTATTTGTTATAAGGTTTTTTTTTTAATTAAAGGAAACAGTTACAAGTATTATTTTAAACTGAGTAGAATTAGATATTTTCATTCTCTTGATTCGAGTAGCAGTGAGCAGTGACAGTAAAGATTTGATATAAGCAGATACAAATTGGTTTAGCCTTTAAATTATTAATTTTATTGTTTTCTATGCTTGAAGAGTGATTTTAACTTTTGGATAATCTTTAAGAATAAACGCATATGTGTCGGTGTAAGTGTTTTATGGGAATAGCTTACACTACATAACAGTGTTTACATCCTCTAACACAGCTATTGAATTGCCAAATGTATATTACGAAATTTCAGATATATCACTTGGTATTGTGATATATCTGAAAATCTTAAAAGATCGCTTAAACACTTGCCAAACATTACTTTCTTTCTTTCTAACCTCACACTAAACTACAAAAAACAAAAACTTTTAAAGATTTGTAATTTTTGTTTGACAAAGGAGCGTAGTCATTCTGCCATTGGCATAAGTAATTTAGAACGTTTATTCGCCATAGACCCGAAGTAAATGGCGCGGTGTCTCGTGATACACAGCCGTGGCATACCACTGGTGCACGTTAAACGTCTACTATGATAGGCGCACCGCAAACGAGAGGTATAGGATATTACGTATGATAACATTAACTTACCATTGGCTCTTCTATCCGGCGCGGAATGGTGAGATCGAACATGTTCCCTAAGGACGACGCGCTGATTGAACGCACGAGGACACACCGCGCACGCATAAGGTTTCTCACCTAACGCAGGAAAAAATTGGCATCAGCTATGCTATCCAGTTCAAAAAGTCTCAAAATGTGAGGACACCATATGACACGAAATATGATATAAATAATAGATTCATTAAACATTTACAACTATTGAACAGTGATGACTATTTTAAAAAAAACCTCAAATCCTACGCATAATATTTTATTGATAACTCAATAAAATATTATTTTATCATTCGCATAATACTTTATAGATAACTCAATAAAATATTATGCGTAGGATTTGATTTGAGATAAAAGCTAAAAATGTATATTGATCCACTCTAAACTTTTTTCATGAATATACCTAGATGAAAACCACATTAAAATCCATTATGTAGTTTAAAAAAGATTTCAGCGTAGAGAAATCGGGAAGCTACTTTGTTACATACTGTGTATAGATTATACTGATGTATCAGTTATTGGAATACTATTTTAAAATAGTTTTGGATCAAATTCATTTTTATCTTAAACATTGATTTGTATTCTGTAAGCTTTACCATAATTAAATAAAATAAGGTAAAATAACAAATACCTGTGTGTATACGCTCGTGCTTCCTGAGCGTGCCACCGTCAGCGAATGCTTTCCAACAAAAACGGCATGCGTATGGCCGCTCACCCGTATGTATCCTTATATGGATCTGTTGAGAACTCCTCGATCCGAACACTTTGCCTGAATCACAACAAAACCGTTGTTACTTTTTAAACGTTACTGTAGGGATGAACTCGTTTTTGATTCAAGTGAATGAGAAAAGACTTAAATAATAGGCATTAAAGTTGAGGAGTGGTGGATTTCCTACTAAGGTTTGACGTCACGTGACATTTCACATTCAATATATTTTCGTAATTTACTGACTATGCATAAATAGAAAATTATTTTGTAGTGGAATATAAATAAACTTATTACAGTTATCGAAATTTCCGCTGTTATGTACAGATTGAGAAGCTATATTGGAAGTATTGTATGTTCTTAAATATCAACCGTTTTGGGCTCAGATATTAAGTAGGTGCACACAATTGCTACTAAATGATACAATATTTTCATCAATATAAATTGAGGAGCCACTTATACATTGATATAACTCTGGATATATTTTACTACAAATTTCATTTAGCCTACAAAATTATTTCATTCCCCACTAAATAAAGCAATTTCTTTTTAAAATCTTAAGTGACTCCCCAATCCATTCGGACATAAAATTAATGTTTCTATTTTTGAAAATGTTCAAAAATATTGCGCGTATTGAAGAAAATATACCATTTCCCAAAAAAACATTTTTATGAATTATATATTTATTTTATTAGTACTCACCACACTCTCTACATGGAAACTGTCTTGAACTACTCGAAGATGACAAATTATTTCTCCCTCGCGACGACTTTTTTAATCTGTAACAATAATAATAATATTGTTTGATTTTGGTTTGAGAGACCAATAAGATAGTTCAAAATTCCCAGATAAATTACCCAATTATTATTGGTTAAGAGTTAAATAGCAGAAAAATGGTGGTATACCGCATATTATGACTTAAAAGTTATTACTTTGTTTGTACGGAGCAGACTTTTTTAACGTGAGTCTAAAATTCAGGCTAGTCTAACTTTCATATTAAGTTTAAGGTTTTTAATACGTGTTATGATTATTCGTACTTTACATTGCCCCGCTGACACCTAGTGTTCCAGCGGCTGATTCCCGCTCTAGGCACTGAGTTTTGTACAATCCTTAGTACTTAAACATACTTCAGTAATAAGAGTTAATTATGACGACCTCTTAGACTAAAATGATAGACGACAAGTTTCAAAGCTGAAAATACAATAAATTTAGGTTTTGTATTACCTGATAAGTATATGTTTATTTATTTATTTAATCTTAATTGCCTAGTAAAATAGACAAATGGCGGAATTAATGCCAAAGTAGCATTCTCTACCAGTAAACCAGTAAATTTAGTACTAAACTTTAAGTGTGGCTAACATGACGTAAATTGCGAAATAATCATGACATAGGTTAATATGTACCTTACGCTACTGATATCCCTACACAAGAAGTATATCTATATGTACATAAATAAAAGCATATATATCAATATAACACATAAGGTACGAGTCTGATGTCAGATCAAGAAAACAAGTTTAATGCAAGATAAAATTTGCGAGCTGCCGTCTCGAATGTAAATTTGTTAGGGACATTAAAAAGGCATTAGGCTTAAAGAAATGCTGATTGTTGAATATACGTAAATATTTTGAACTCCCTCAAAAATAAGAAATAAAAATATACACAGAAATAGAAACAGTAGACCGACTTTGAAGCTCTCTCTCAAGTGTAACTTGGTTCACAGTTAATAATCTTCAATTGAATGCTAAAAAAACCAAATGTATAAAATTTACTTTGCCTAATTTAAAAGTAGAACCAACTGAAATTAAACTCAACAATGAACATTTAGAGTTAGTAAGTTCAACAAAATTTTTGGGCATAACACTAGATTCAAAAGTGCAATGGAACCCGTATATTTCTATATTAGCTGGTAAACTCAGTTCGGCTGCATATGCCATACGATAAATAAGACAAATTACCGATATAGAAACTGCCCGGACAGTGTACTTTACTTATTTTCACAGTATCATGTCCTATGGAATTATATTGTGGGGAACGGCAGCCGATATTCAGTCTATATTTGTTTTACAAAAAAGGGCAATAAGAGCTATCTAACGGTTGGGCTCGCGAATATCTCTTAGAGAGAAATTTAAAGAAATTGGAATATTGACGGTTGCATCTCAATTTATATATAGTTGTATACTTTTTGTCCGGAACAATATTAATGTGTATACCAAGCAAAGAGATGTACACAAACTTAACACTAGAAATAAAAAAAAACAAGCTAGTAATGCCTTCTTATAGGTTACAGAATGTATAAGGTTCTTTCATGGGTCAAGGTATACAGTACTTTAACAAGATCCCCAGTGATGTATTAGATTATACCATTAAACAATATCTAAATGACAAAAGGGCATGGTGTTAGATATTTTAACTTTACTGTATTTCATTTTCTAATAATATAATGGAAAGTGACTCCATATTTTAATGAAGTCACTTTTCAATAAGACTTTTCACACAAAACTAGCCCTTGCTGAGTTTCTTGCCGGTTCTTCTCAGTACAAGGTCTCCCGCCGTAGTTTTGCGGACCAACGGCATAGTTTCCGACTTTCCCAAGTGCTATGTAAAAGCCTAAACTGAATAAACAATTTTGATTTGATTTTGATTCACCTGGGCGCTTCAGAGTGTGCGCGCGGCCTGTCCGCGTGCCGCTCGGCGTGAGCCAACAGTTGCAACGCGTCTGTACAACTCTCGCCGCACACGTCGCACGTGTGCTCGCCCCACGTGCTGCTACTGCTGTCGTGTCGCTTGTAACTATCATAACAACACGCAACATTATCATACAGCGTTTCTGACGTCGAATCGTTCCTTAATAAAGATCATATCGAAGTTGAGGATTGACGACAAACATCAAATTATTCGCATTATTTCGTTTGGCGCCAGACATTGTATTTAGTTAGAAATAAATCCAAAGATTTCTTTAATAAATATATTTTGTATGGTGCGAAGGTGAAACGCTTAACAATTTACCCACACTATATAAAAGAAATAACTGGTAACGATATAACACGGACAAGACCTGTTAATATTGCGAAAGAAATGTATCCGCGTTCTAACAAATATTTAACAAACTGATAGTTGCAAACCACATTTTAGAAATTTAAATATACTTACCGTGAATCTACATATTACAAATTTGTAAATTTGTTCGCCAGCATCCTAAAATTCTAAAAACGGAGATGTTCCTTGTCATAATATATCATGCTATAAAATAACCTAATCCAAATACCTTCTAAGTTAACTTTACACAGTTCCAGAACTTAGAAAATGTCAATTAAAACCTATAATAAATTAAAAACATATAAAGATCGAAAAAACATATACTCGATTTATAGAAATGCTAAAGAATATCCTATTAAATAAATTCTATTATACAGTGAATGAATATTTGAATGAAACGTTTTAGATAAAATGGAATGTCTGACCCTTTTCTTTCCATTTTTCTATATTGCCATGGTGCATGTGAATATTATTAACTGAAATTTATGTATTTAGTTTCTAAGTCACATGTATGCAATGCAATGAAATAAATAACTAAATATGACGCCTGAGCGATTGTAGTAAATAAAAACGCAGGCGTTGATAGCCGCAATAAACACATCACACAATGAATCTCACATCAATCTACATGCTTACTCTCGAACACAATCTATTTTCCAGTTATAATAATCAATCTTCAACTTTGATCTAATCACTATCATGATAATCCACAAAAGCGATATATATATTAGCAGTAATTTTACAGTGCCTAAAAGTAATAACAATAATATGAAACGGGAGATATTATTTGGAACACAGGAGTGTAGCAAAGTTAGCACGACCCTGTCAAAAATAAAATGCCCTTAAAATGCCACAAATAATGATGTCCACTCTCCATATATTGATTGACCTGTCACATGTACGATTCAAAAGTGCTTGAAACAAGCTTACTTGAATATATACATTTTCATTTCACATGTTTTTTTTAAAGATCATGTCATAATTTAAACCATTAATATATATAAAATATAATAATGTTTTAGCATCTTTTTATCTGGCCATCATGAAAATATGCAGATCAGTCAAGTATGCAGAGGTCATAACAGTTGTCACATCACGAGATAATTATGAAGTTATTAAAATCAGTTTTTATAGTTTTTTAAAGTTTGTCTCGTAAATATGGAAATAAATTTAAATGTAATTAATAATATGACGAAAGAATATTTTTTATAGAAGATGAAACAAAACATAGCAAACATTCAAATTGGGTCCGAATCGCATTGGGTTAGTGTAGCAAATAGTCATTTAAGGGTTGCATTCGGTTAGTTATCATAGTACTATATATTTAAAAATAATTATCAGCGTGGCAATTTATTCCTTACTTTATTTTAAGATTTAATTTCCTGATATTAAATAAATAAAAAATAATCAACACTTTGAGATATATCTCAAAAGACGCGTTGGTAAATTTGTATTCAAAATCGGACATGATTTTTTCAGTCACAGACATTTCCCTCCTCTTTTTCCTATCATAATAACAATAATTAATTAAATATACCTATGGGCGGCGGCGACGTGCCGCCTCAACAGATCAGCACGTTGGAACGCGACGCCGCAGTCCTGACAAAACAACTCGGGACCGCGCACGTTCTCATACACACGGTCACTTGTCTGCGGCGCCTCTGGCGACAGCTGGAAGTCCATGTCGTCATCTGTCCACACAACATTAATGATTTCAATAACTTAAAGCCTCCATTATCCGCTAAAACAATTTTTTAGGTTTAAGTTGAAAATGAGTAGTTTGATCTAGAAGCAAACATAGTACTGAGCTTTTGCCTTTTTGCATTGTTCCGGCACACATGCAGAGTTGTGTATGTTTTTTAATTTATTTATTTTTTCTTTAATATTTAATCTTTGTATTCATTCAACTTTTATAATTGCTGGCATGTGTGTGTGTGATATATGCAAATAAAATTATTATTCATTCATTATCATATTTGATTATTTTACATTCATCATCATAATCATCGATCCTTTTACGCCACTACAGGGGCTCAGGCCTTATGGATAGTTAAGGAGGATGGACCAAAAACCTCCACGCAGACCCGATGCGGATTGGAGGGTGTTAACAACTGCAAATGCAGCCGTAAGTTGCAGCCGCAAATTTTACATTCATAATGCTAATGATAAATACCTTTAAAGAAAAATGCATAGGTCGAAAGGATGGTAGTGTACTATAGTAGCATACTAATGTGATGGTTTGCTAACGTAGTTAATGGGGTTGGAATACATGATAAAAATAGGTATGAGATTTAAAGATATTTTAAAGTATTTATTTTTGATGTCTCAATTCATATGATTTGTTAATAATACGTGATGTCTTAACTCGCTGTCGTTTTAAGAGTTACCAGAGCATTCAAACTGAATTATACACATTTTATATCACACAATAGAATATAGACAACAATTCAGTTTCAGGTTCGCTTTCGCAGCATAGACGAAACAGATGTCAAAACACAATCCAGTATTTTGCAGAATCCAGATACCTAAAGACTACCAGAGCAGATTATAATAATAAGTATTGCGATTTAACTTAATTTAAATCACTTAATGATCACGATCCGTGATCATAAAATAATCAATCTGAAAATTAGAAAATACTAATTTCTATTAATAGGGATAACGACTAATTTTTGTTTGTTTGTCCGTCAGGTAGTGTTAAAAAATATTAAACACGTATTTTTTATTTTTTGCGTAATCATAAAATTACGGCGATACATGGAGTTGACACGCTATGGTACATTTTCTACAAAACTGTGACGTAGCGAGCCCCGAGCCGACACCTCAACTTTAATGCCTGTTATCTAAGCATATTTTTCGATAAATTGAAGTAAAAAAAACATATCTAATATTTTTACATTATCTGACTGACAGACTAAAAAGAATTGAATTTTTTTTACCCCGTCGTCATCCCTATTATGCAAGTATAACAATATACCTAAGCCAAAATCACTTATATCAAACTGATTGTATACAAATGACGTTTCAGGCTTACCCAATGTTTAGGCATAAATACCGCTGAAACCGGGACAGTATGGAGATACTCACCTTCATCAGAGTCCTGGTATGGTGTTTCTGGTTGTCGGGAACGCGGTGGTAGATGTGGATGTCGCTGTGCTGCGTGCGATGCTAAAGATTCGCGCGACCAACATAATTCGCCACATTCACCGCATTCTATGGGTGAATCGCCACCGTGAATCTGGCGGGATAAATAAGATTATTATAAATTAAAACCAACAATCATTTCCTCAATGGGGCCGTCCATAAATCACGTCACACAAAATTCATGAATTTTAACCCCCCCCCCCCCCCCCCCTCTCGTGTCACATGTTTGTTGTCACAGTCACACACAGTTGTTCTAATGTCGCATGTGACGTAATTTATGGATGGCCCCTATTATGAGTTTGAGTGTGCAACAAAGTTACTATAGCTTTGTGTATTAGAGCCTTTAAATACTGTAGCCTCTAATACACAGAATATTTTTTGTTAGTTCTTTTAAAGTATAATTCAACAGTTTTATTGTTTACCACTGAAGATCTGTATTAGATTATGTCTATTATAATAACACGTGTTAGGGACCGTGTATATCCTTTACCCCTTAAATTTCAAAACTACACCTTTTAACCGATTGAAAATCTTTCTTTTGGATTTTGAAAGAATGCAAAGTATGCAATCTTTTGTTTTTTGTTTGATATAAACATGTCATAAAAATATTTTGGTGAAATCTGTTTTCTTATAAAATGTAAAAACTACTGATTCGATTTCGATAAAATTTAAATGAACTGGACCATCCAGTTATCAAATAAAAAAAGAATTTTGAAAAGCAGTCAACAATTCGCTAGAAAATCGATGAACACATATAAAGAAAATACATCGCTGTCGAACATATAAACTTCTTTCTTTTTGAAGTCAGTTAAAAACCTAACAGACTCTCGCCGTAGACACCCGTGTGCTTGATGTTTCTGCATTTTAATAGTGACTATAGTTTATAATAAAAATATTTATGATTTGAAGCTACATTGCGTTATTTTATTAAACATAGTCTTCATAAGATTTCTTTGACTTAGGTATATTGTAACAAAAATTTTTCGTTATTGCAAATTGCGAAGAAAATAAAAAAATTTAAACAGAATTTATTTGGCACCAAAACAGAATATTTCGGCCGAATACGAATGGTGAAAAAAATGCCGAATACGCCGAATGCCAAACGAATATTCGACGCATCTCTAATTATTATTATGATACAGTACCCTTTACATATTTAAAAGTCTGTTAAATCTTAAATTGGGGCAAAACCGGAATGTAAATGAAACAGTTAATAATCACCCTAGCATGTGATTGCAGTGCCTTCTCTCTAGCGAATCCAATACCACAATGTCTGCAGACAAACGGCCGAGAAGGGTCCGCGGGCGGAGGCGGAGGAGAGGGGGGTGACGGGGGAGAGGGCGGCGACGGCGGCGTCGGCGGCGGCTGCTGCTTGGGGGAAGTACGAGCGCGACGAGACCATTGCTGTGTCCGCGCTGATGTCATGTTCTCCCACATCCCATTCTGAGAAAGAAAAATAAATCATTAGGTTCTATGAAACCTGCTACCATATAAGTACTTCATTCGTCAAGCTAGGGGTATGTTCCGATATACACTGCGACCACTGAACAGTATGACGTCAATTTAGTATACTGGAAGCCTGTTCCTTTATAGCTAGTTATACTGGTGACTTTTTAAATCGGAACGCAGTCCAGTATACTGTTAATCCTATTTTTTGGCGCCATTTTCAAATTTGTTAATGCAAGGTGAATATAAATATAAAGATTCCCTCTTTTCAAAAGAAAATTGGAAAATTGTATTAAAAAAATTATTTATCAATTAAATCCATCTTATAAATAAACGTAAATATATATTTTTTTGTTTATTTAGAAATTTATCATTTTCTGATTCTGTTTTGACTGATCACGTGATCAAAAGCACTGCGAGCACCTTACCTCGAAATCTCCAGTGCTCACAAATATGGCGGCAATTTATGACGTCATAAATTTCCCTAGGGTACTGTAGCAGTGTACTGGCAGTCCATAACGGAACGGATTTTTCAGCAGTAAGACCACTGCGCAGTGTATATCGGAACATACCCTAAATCCCTTGACAGTTATAACAATAAATAATGGTTTATGTTGGAAACAGTAACTTATATGTAGAGAATGATTGTTAAAATAAATTGTAAGTATATTTAGCTTATGCAAAATACGGGTGTAGACAGTAAATGAAAATATATACATATTTTTATTTTTCTGCTACTGTTTAATATACTATCATCGATAATCCATTTTCACACTTATTATATTAATATTGCTTAAATTAATAATAAACTTTGTACTTGTTGTAAAGTGACCGCAAACAGTGCGTGACGTGTCGAGGGTCGTGCCCTCTTACTCATATCATAACTTAGAGAATTCAACCTTACGCATAGAACGATATATTTTTCAGAGTACCGTGACGTCATAGCGACGCCATGATAGAAGTGGCATTCTCGCGGAAAATTTTGAAAATAAAATCAATCTTTAGATTTAACTTATCATATGAATGATTTTTTTTTAAATATTTCTTCTATTACTTGCGATTTATAATCTGTGGACTACCAGAACCGAAACGCGGGCCGCCATGACGAAGCATCGTGTGACGACACATTTCAATAAACTAAACATCAACATCTTTGCGAGTGCAACCAGTACTCATTTTTATTGAATCATGACGTAATGATTCAATAAACACGAGTACTCTAAATGTCACGTAAACAGATCAATTTTAATATAAACATGTTTTTATAGGTGAAAAATAAATATGGTTGACTTAATATAATTATAAAATTAATCTTACCTCTACAGGTTCCGGATTCTTTTTTCGTCTTCCTCTCTTTTTCTTTGGTTTAATTATTTGATTGTTATCTAAAATTTCTGAAAGTAACAAATATTGTGAATATCTCTTAATTCAAATTATTACAAAACAATGTCTACATCTATTTCATATTTTTTTTACTGTACCATAATCAACGGCGTCATGGTTGTCGGGTACAAAGGCGTGTACTTTGAGGTGGTTCATGAGATCACACTTGCGCACGTAGCGAACCCCGCACAAATTGCACGCGTGCGGGCGATCATTCTGATGCGCAACCATATGGTTCATAAGGGCTGCTTTCTTGCGAAACCGTCGTGAACAGAAATCGCACGGCCATGGCCGCATTGCCGTGTATTCGTCCTGGGCAACAAAAATAATCAACAAATAATTATCAATTATAGCTGTTAATTTATTTAACAATAATACTCTAAACCAGTGATTCCCTAAGTGGTCCAGGTGGGCCCCAGGGGTCCACAAGGGATTCGATGAGGGTCTATGTTGGTAGGAAATAAATAAATCTTCACATATGGTAAAAATATAGCACCGAAACCATTAAATTTTTTAAAATGGTCTAAGAGAAAAAATAGTTTGGGAATCTCTGCTCTAAACTATGCATTAAGTTTGTTTTAATCTTTTCATGGTCGAGCTGGATGTAAGTATAACCTATTTACATAATACTAATATGCATATTTTTTAAATGATATTGTTGTAAAACATTTTTTTAATTACACTTACCTGATCTGTGGGCAAGGGTACATCAAGTTCATTTTCTATCTTGACATCTGATACAGGTTGTGTAAAATGTTCTAATGATACTTCAACCCTAAAAAATTACGCAGATTATTTCCACATTCATTTGAATAAATTAATTCAATTTGTTATCTATATGGTAGAGGACTTATTCAACTGAATTAATATCTATTCAAGTATTGTAAACTTTTGAAAAACTTAGTCAAAACAAATATTGCTTTGCATTAATAGAAGTCCTTTACATCCAAAAGACTACTAGATAACCTTGAAGAATAGGTATAGGTTTAGATGAAGTCTTTACTGTATAAAAGGTAATGTTATATACATACCTTTCTTGACCACCAACCCAATCATCTGTAATAACTTCTTCAGTGACACATTCTACATTAGGATCATCAGCAAGCTCAGCAGTTTCTGTGTAACTCACTACATCTTGTGCTAGGTACATCAAGTTCTCTGCAGCCATTTGATCTGTGTCTGGTATCATCCCCTGTGAGGCCTTCAATAATTAATAATAATAAAATAATAACACAAGACATCAAGGAAAATTTAAAAAAAAATCTTGATTCATAATTATTAAAACAAGTTTCAGTTGTCTTGCAACAACAATTTAAAAACTATTAGTAAAACTATGTTCAACAAATTTTTTGATTTTAAAATACCAGATTCAATTCATTTGAAATTTCATTTTCATTTAATGGCTGGTGATTATCATACACATCACAACTAAAAATGATTAGATGAGATTATGAAATAGCTGCAAAAATAAGAGAATTAAAGCCAGTCCTACAAAAACCTCTTTTGTTACAACAGTCCTCCAATACTTTACAAAAATGTTACTTTTAACTAACTAATTGAATCTGTATGATACTCATTGAAGCTGAACTGCAGCAGCTACACTAAAGATCTGCAGTAGTCAATCCTCAGTGCACTTAAGAGTGCCACAAATCAAACTACCTATATCTTCAAAGAACTCAAAATAGGATTCTCTGAACATGTGATGTGCCATACTATAATGCAATACATGACCATCTGGAAATGATGATGGTTAAAGAAATAATCAAAACTTCTTGAAGAGACACATCTAGACACAAATAAAACACTTGGGTACTGGAAACACAGTTTATACCTCAGAGTTGTAAAAAAAGAAGAAAAATGAGATTGTTTTCTCATTGAAGATGGTAATATATTCTTCACTTGTAAATTGACACAAAGAAATATTTAGTTTTTGAAAATTTCAAGGTAAAAATATAAAAAGTTAGGGATAATTTATTTTGAATCATTATTCACTCTTGGTGAGATTCTATTTAAATGTAAGCAATTAGAATCTGGGATTGTCAGAATTGTTGTTTTTAGAATCCTACATTTATGATCATAATGTTTGAGTCATCTTACAACCCTTGAATGACAATATCCATCAACTACATAATTGTAACAAAATACACTTTCCTCAATATGAAATGTGGTTATTGATTAAAAAGCTTCCACAAGACCTTAAAACAAATGTTTTGACTACTTTTAAAATATGAACTTGACAGTAAATACCGTATTATCATATGATGAAGCTTGACTATCAAGGGCACACATAACTCCCTCTGATGATTCTCCATGACCAGGGCTATGCTAGAGAGAATATTAAAGTGTAAGAAAATTTCATCATAACCAGAAATTATTCATGAATATTTCAATAATTGCAAGGGAGGCAAAAAATTTTTACTTACTTTTATCACTACTTCCTCCCATTGGAGGTTGAACTCCTCTCCTTCCATTTTGAGTTATTTTATTGTGTTACCCATACCTGTAAAATTACATGCAACTATTGAATATCATAATTGTAAATTGTACTTTATAAAGAATAATAAATATAACAAATTAATTAACAAAACTGAGGCTTTGGTATATTATTTCATGTGTAGAAAATAATACTGTTATTTATAGTTATTTACTAGACATCGGCCAAGAATCATCACCCATCATACAAGTAACACTTGAACCAAAACATCAACATAACCTTAATAGTAGTTTTAACAATCTATAAGCACCAATTAGTTTTTTACTTTGGTGGCGCACTTAATAACATTTTCCATAAATAATTAGCCCATCTAGTATTAATACTTCAAAGACATCTACTCGAAAAAATGGTGTCGAAAAAGAGAAAATGACTATTAGGTTAAAACTACTGTCAAAGAAAAAGGTTAAGATAAACAAAACGATTATTCGATTACAATATAATAATCACCTTCGACGCAGCACAAAATACCGAGAAATTAAGTTATTATTAAAGCTTCTTTTTCTGTCTATACGTTTACATGACGCAATCATACAACTTATCAATAGTGAGATACGAATAAAGAAAACAAAAATATAACCAAAGTTTTTACAAAATTAATAATACTACTGACCACGAAATAATTAAAAGTAACCGCATCACTTTCTTTTTCAATGAATTTCTAGTGAAACGCGAAAATATTTTAATGTTTGGTTATCGGACAAATGGCTAACTTCCATTTTCCTTCACAATAGGGTTGGGATCTGAGATACATTAATCGAAAAATCGATTTATCGTGTCAAAAGAAATCGATATTTAAATTGATATCTACGCACTTCAATATCGTCTAGGGATATTTTGTATAAAGTTCTAAATTCAAAAAATACAGGCCGTCTTAAAATCTTTTGATGAAAACTTATTTTGTACGCCTGTAGAGTACGCATATGGCGAACTCCTGGTCGTGAGTGCCGCCTGCAACACCCTCAGGAAGTTCATCTTAAACCCCATAGAACACGCGTGGGATATACTCCAAAGAAAGGCTTTGAGGAATTTACCTACAAACATTGTCACTGAAGAGCATTTTTTTTTCATCTTTCCAGGACCTGGGGCAATAACCCGCAGCAAATATCTCTAGACGATGTTGATGTGTGTGGTACTAAATCCATTAAGTGAATCGATGTTTAAAATCTATATTCGATTTTTTCTGTTTTGTTATAAACCATAATTGCAATAGGGGTATAGACATTTTGTTTATATCTTCATTTTATGGATATATATGGCTGTTGTAATAATTACATATTATGATTAGCGAAATAACTAACTAATAAAGAGAAGGTTAGTAGTAAGCGCTTAAGAAATTAGTTGCGATCAAATCGCAGTGTACAATTAATTATCAGTTGTACACTTTAATTTCAAAGATAGCCAATAGCCCCACTGGTTTTTTACTTTGATGCTATTATTTTCAGTTTGTTCTGTTAGTAGCAATTATTAAATTTGACCATGCAAGTTAGCCATCAGGAACTATAAGCTATATTATCTATTTTCCTAACTTTTTAATAAGAACCAATTCATTTATATTTGGAAATAAATAGCTCATGTAATACTTTGTTACGCTAATAAATATAATTATTATCATTGAATTCTCTGATTTTACTGACAAGAGATCGTTAATTTGAATATACTTATATCTTGTTTTTAATAAGTGGATTTATACTTGCCCTACTTTAAGACATCGATATTTTTTGCAAATCGATGCATCCGGTTACGATTCAAATTCGATATTTTACCAAAGAATATACTTTATTGTTTATGACGTCGCCTGTCCCCGTCCCATAAAACGAAACAATAATACTACTCTTTGACTACTACTACCTTTATGACTGTAAGATTTGGTCACGGCCTTCTTATGATTAAAATAGTAGACTGAATTCGAGAACTTTCTTGCGGATTTTTCTTTTGATATGATTAACAGCTTGTGGTTGGCAGAAAATTGCAAAGAAATATTGAAATATATATTATATCAGCACTTTTATATGACAGCTCCAAACACATATCTCAAATGTGTGATGCCAATGGAGATCCTGGAGTTTATTGAGTTTTGAAAACTAATTTACTTTTAAACATGAAAGAAAACCGGAAGGGTTGTCATGGAGAAATCAAGAAAGTACGGTAGCGACATCTAGTTTGATTTCGGGAAATATTATTTTTTTTTTTATTATTCCCTTATTAAACGACAGGGTCACCCTCATTCGTTTTCTACTGTTTTGTATCGCACTGTATATGATAGTATATTTTTTCACTTTTTGGAGACGAGTTTGGCAGATTTTTAGGTACTGTCGGACAGATTTAATATTTTCGATTGGTTTTTTAAGATTGGTCACCCTAATCAGGTGATTGGCAGTGACAGTGATAGATTAGATGACATGACAGATGGTTATATTTTTGTTTTCGTGACGGATTCCACGAAATCAGTTTTCATTTTTATACTTTATTAATAATTAATTTATATGTTTATAACTTAAAACTTCGAAGATAAGTTTTTAGTCTTTGAATGTAATTATCAACTTAAAAATATTGTTTTACCAAAACTAACATGTCTCAAGAACTAAGAGAACTTTGTCACCTCTTATTTCCAGATGATACAGCAGGTATTTAACCCTTTAAGTTGTAGGAAAGCTTATATACAAAATACTTTTTTTTTAATGAGATATCTTAAGATCAAGATCACAATCGATACCATGGGTAATCGAAATCTTTCATTCTTTGTTCTGCCATGGAACTTAGCAACTTGTGTTTGCATTCTCTGTTCCCCCTGTTCATTTTTGACTGGAAACTATCGACCTGTAATATTTATTAATAGTTTGCAAGTCAAATAATTATCTTCGGTTTAAGATAAACAAGGTACTTAAATATTTTAATGATTATTTCATTAAGTAGGACAAAAATCACTTAAAATCTTTAGGGTTGTTTTCATAATCAAATTAAATATTAAGTCAATTATCAAAATGGCCTTTATTGTGGTAAATTTTAAGATAACATATAATTATGATAAAATATGATTACATTTTAGACCAAACAGAATATTTCAGTGAAATTTCGGATTATATAAAGAAACTGGGTTCTCAAAACTGGGAGTATGTGCGAAAAGAACCTGAACGATTGTCTGAAGAAATGAGGCATTTAACAGAACAGACACAAGAGTTGGCTTTTACAAATTATAAAACTTTTGTTGAGACTGCAGAAACATCAAAAACCATCATGAAAGATCTTGGAAAGTCAAAAGATTCATTAGCTACATTTCTTGATACCACACCATTATTTATTCAAGAATGTGAGAAGTTTTCACAAATGGCCACAAGTATTGTGAAGGAAAAAAGGTAAATATTTAATATTATCAATGATATAATTATGATTTCAATATAATCCATCTTTAGGTATTATTAATATGAAATAATTTTTCAGTCAATATAATACAATACGTAGTCAAAGCGACAAACTGCTTGAACTATTGGAATTACCATCTTTAATGAGAGAGGCTCTCAATGCCGAAGACTATGAAAGTGCTTTGGACATCTTTACTTTTATCCGGAACATTTCTAAAAGATATTCCGATATACCAATTGTCCAGGTACTAATATTTTATATTAAAAAATGAAAAACAACCAAAACCTCAATAAAAAATTTCTATAAATAAATAAAATTATAATGTTTCAGAATACTACCTCGGAAATAATAACTTTATGGTTTGAGACTCTATACCACCTTTTCAACCAACTACGTTATGATCTTCCTCTACCACAATGTTTGCAAGTATGTATTTATAGCAAGGTCACTGAACAGAAAGAATTTCGTCTGATGGTCTACTGATAGATATTGTAAACATTTTAGGTAAACTTTACTATGACAAAATTGGTTATATGCATCTGCGCAAGTGTTGGTTACACAGAATTGAAAGGATTTCGAAATTCTCTCTTCTTTTTTTTCTTATTCGGTGATAATGCTACAGTGTCTATCTTGAATAAAGATAATTTCATTTCATTTCATGTCACATATCATACTTGGATATCTACCAGCATATTAATCGCTTTTATTTCAGATTTTAGGTTATTTACGTAGGGCAAACACTGTTTATAAATCAACAGAGGATGAACATGGACAGTTCCCTAGCAGTAAAACTGGTAGTAACACATCAATATCAGATGGTTTACATTTACACTTTTTAAAAGCTAGGAATGCTTGGTTTGAAAAAGCATTGGATGATGCTAAAAATAATGAATGTGAGTTTATTGTTTATAATTATCATATTTTAACTTTTATGGTCTAACTAAATAAATGCGGTTGGTTTTCTATATCTATAATAATATTGAAAAAAGGTAAAGCTCCTAACTTTAGTTGTTTGTTTGTAGGGGTTATCTTTAGAAATACTGATTCGATCATGAAAGTTCTTTCACCTTTGTGAATATTAATATTTTACTATTACATTTGGTCATTCTTTACAGCATCAGAGAAATATTTACGGCGAATAGTGGAGTTGCACAGAATTCATCTTTTTAATGTATTGACCCAACATAAATCAATATTCTTATCAGACGCTCAAGAATCAAAAGTCAAAGATGATGAATTGAGTGGAACCAGTGCTTTATCTTGTTGGTTAAAACAAAAGGTACATAAAGCTGATTGATTTTACCATTTTTTAAATGTAATGTTTGAGCAAACTCCACTAAATGGTAGGTAGTCCCTTCTCTTTCATTAGGTCTGCTTCTGTACGCCTTCTAAATATACCCTGGTTATAGGAAGAAGCAAACAGCACAGGATTCCAATTGCGAGTTTTCGCTGCGGAATCGATAGTCGTGGTATGACTTAGAAAAATCATATTTTTTTTGCATTGAAATTGTGGCCACCACATATCGGAAAACGCAGGCGCAGGTATAAGAGTATATATAGCTCTTTCTTCAGAACACATGTTTATTTATGACTTATAGTTTGCACGTAACTCGACCCGTGTCAATATTTTTGTGTGTATTGGTGATGGTTTTTCGATTCCGCCAATCTTATAGTTGGCCAATTGAAGCATTGTTTTGTATATACTACTTCCATCGGCCAGCCATCTTTTCTTACATGGAAATTCCATTATGTGCATTTATTTTAAATCTTTCAGGTGGAATTGTTGGCGCAAATATTAAATCAAGATTTGTTGCGGGAAGATGAGTCAAGTTTCGAATCACTATTGAATCAATGCATGTATCTTTGCTTATCATTTGGAAGAGTCGGTGGAGATATGAGATCAGTGTTGACACCATTATTCAGAAATATTATGCTCACCCAACTGCACAGCGGCTTAGAAAAGGCTAACAGTCATTTTGACAACCAGATGAAATCATACAAAGTTTCTAGCATTAAGAATGTGCCAAGACCAGTCAATGAAAATATGATACAAGGACCACCAGAGAATTTACTGGATTATTACCCTCTAGCAGAATACTGTAATGGGTTGCTCACAGTGCTAAATTCTCTTAGAGTTACAGCCCCTTTAAATATAGTGAAAGAAGTATATAATGCATTTAGGAAATCATTTGAAAAAGCAGTACAAATATTAGTAGCATTTTATCACAAAGAGCAACAAGGTTTCGCGGATATCGAAAGACAAAATTTTGTATTGTTCTGTGTTAGTTTCTGCGAGGATCTGATACCTCATATTACGAAGTGTTTGTCACAATCATTCCCGTCCACACAAATAGCAGAATTATTGGGAGTTACACTCACTGTTCTTCAGGAAAGTAAGATTCTTTATATTGACCAAATATCTATTTCTGAACCACTTAACGGTATAATAAATCATGTTAATAATTAGTAATAAATAAATAAAAAGAATTATAAAAATATTAAAGTATTTATTTTCTTATAAGAAAAATAATAACAGAAAATGTAATAAGATATTGAAAAAAATGTTTATTCATACGTTCTTACAAAATGTAATGATTCAGAAAAAATTGTAAGGCACAGCCTTCTTATTATCTATCGATAGTGCACAATAAGGAATGCATTTTATTATTATTATATTAAAATCATGTAAAACGAATTCGCTTAATTCTAGATTTGCCATCTTCATTTCTGGATACCTCATAATAATGGCTTACTTTATCAATGTTGCCTAGAGATTCGATGAACTCCTTGTCATGCGTTATAATAATGAACATAAAGTTTTTCTGGGTCATTCGTTCTTGCACTATCTCTCCTAATGCTGAGCACAAACTTCTAATATTATCTTGGTCCAGGTTTGTTGTAGGCTCATCTAATGCCAATATACCGAACCTTGAATAATAAATAGAATTATTTGCTTAGTATTTGTTAGTACACACATAAAAGTGATTTATAAAAACATACAATGAAGTACACTTGTCATTGTCACTATTAGTAACATAATATGTAATATTTTTGTATGTTGAATAGATATAGATATATATATATAATTCCATAAATCAATAGTTATCAACGAAGGTGACGAGGGTGGTGTGGGGCTCTATTGGTGCGAAAACAACTAATGTCTCCAAATTCTCTATTTCCCACATAGCAAAGGTCGTCGTCAAAAATAATGTCAATATTATTCAAACAAAATGTCAATACAAAAATAATAATGAAATAAAATTCTAAAAAATATAAACTATCAAATCAAGAAACTTCATATTTAGTTATTGTTAATAAATAAATGTTAGACTAAATCACAACATAACATACATCGCTCTAATCCCAAATTAAGTAATCCGAAACGATGAAGGTACTACAACTTCCAGATTGGAGACTAAAGAAAAGCTCATTTTCTACAATGAATCTTGAAATTGAATGCTAGGATATGGCGACGTCTTGAAACCGCAACACGAACTACACGACCACAGATCTTATTTAAAATAATTTAAAGAAAATAGTAAATGATTATATTCTTTACCTAGAACTGAATGTTTCTGCAAGAGCCAATCGAATAATAAGGCAAGCCAACACTTTTTGACCAGCGCTACATCTTCCTCTCATATCTATTTCGACGCCGTTCTTGCATTGTACCACTCTAGAACAGAAATTTCGGTCAATGCCATCATATAAAAATTAAAGGGATATATACAAAAAAATAAAAAGCAAATCACCTGTAATCGTATTTACGTCGATCTGAATCTGATGTCATTCCCCCCTCAGTCTTTATTTCAATGTAATCAATGTCATTACCTCTGTAAATCTTCCTCCACAATTCTCTAAAAATAAATTTTTGTTTCATAACCAAATTAACTTAAGGTTGATTATGAAATGACACTTTGAAAGAATACGGTGTAGACAGTAAAAACAAATACATTAAATGAATCCCTATTTCCCTTGGTCACGCCATCACCCGTGGCTGTACCGATGTTTTTATATATTTGATATAGTCAGAAGGTTCTTATGAAAAAAAAAAAAATTGTGTGAAAAAACTTAAGAATATTTTACTACCTATAAAGAGAGAATACATATAAAATTATTTCTAATCGTTAGATTATATTAGATTAATTATTACTTAGTATTTTGGATAATATAAACTTTTTAAATGACAGAATGCGTGCTGCAAATATCATCAAATAAAACGTAAAAAAAAAATTGTTCGAATTCAATATTCATAATTAAGACAGGACTACGTTTGTCGCGGGTCAGCTTATAATAAAATTACTAGTTCATAAAAAAATGAATTTCATTTAAAGGAACAAACATATTCAGCAATTATTAAAAGTTTGTTTCGAGCCGCTGCCACCAGATGTTCCAGCACCTGACCTCACCATTGGGTACTAAGTGATATGTACCTTTAGTACTTCAACATACTGTTGAAAAATGAAAATGAATGAACTGTTGAAAATTGTGTCTGTTTTAAAATGTTTTTAAGAGTTCAGTTGTAAAAAATCTTTGATATCTTTTTTTGTATCCAATACTCATATTTGTGTTACCTTCCTAAAACGGCTGAAATATTATTTATCTCCTTACCTGATTATTAAATTGATACTCTCCATTTTTTCTCTGTGGAATTCCATAACACACTTTTCTAATGCAACTGCATAATCTCTAATATCCTTATCGATAGCTTTTGTTACATGTAACTCATAGAACTTCTCTCTGTATCTATTTTCTATATCTTTATTAGTCTTCTTCAATTCTAATCTACACTGTTTCAGTCTTTCCTGTAAAATTTATGAAAAAATTAAAACTCATTGTAATAAAAAACTATCTAAATACTTTAGTGATAGCATCATAGTTTTCACAATACCTTTAATTCACTCAAACTTCCTTCAATTTGCGCTCTTTCTCTCATCTTCTTAGTTTGAAGTGTTATCAATGCTGGTTTCTCTGAAATCATGTCTCTGTCGACACCATTCATTTTTTCGTTATTCTTTTCCTCTTCTTTTAGAAGGTTTTCAATTTCTGCTTCAATTTTTCTTAAGCTCAAGTTATCGTCCAAATCCCTTTTGTAAATCTAAAAAAATATACAATTAAGGGGTCATGACATGAACTAATAATATTTTTTAATAACTATCGGTATGGTGTTCTCTTACATCATGAAATCATAATAGATTTGATTTATAATAATTTATCGATATTGAAATGACATGCAAATTTTAAAATTATCGACGACCTCCGTAGCTGAGTGGTCCACGCGCCTATTTAAAGATGTTGCTATCCCTGAGGTGCCAGGTTCGACCGGGTCGGGTCAATGAAAAATTAACTATTTTATATTGTCTCCGATATGGGTGTTGTGCTACATTCCTTGTCTTAGATACTCTATAATATGTGGATTCAGTGTCCACTCATCTTCGAATCTGAGCAATGTATGTAATGTCTATATTTATTTCAATTCAGTACACATTAACTCAAAACTATTATTTACATAATAGGGATGACGACAGGGTAAAAAACGAAATTCTATTTAGTCCGTCAGTCAGATAATAGAAAAATATTAGATATGTATTTTTTTTAACTTCAATTTATCAAGAAATAGCTTAGATGGCAGGCATCAAAGTTGAGGAGTGGAGGCTCGTATTGGAGTTGAGGAGTCGATTTAATAAAGTACATTTTCTACAAAAATGACGTGATTTTTGTAGAAAATGTACTTTATTAAATGTAAATCATTTATTATTATTTATTACGAAAAAAAATACGTGCTTAATATTTTTCAACAAACAAACAAAAAATAGCCCCCATCGCTATTGTAAATTAAAGAATTATAAACAAATTACATTTTACAAGAAACTCTGAATTAATATAATGTCCGATCACCTTACAACGACGATAAATTATTTTATTGGATGTTTACCTGTTGTTTAGCTATTTCATCTTTTATAGTATCAATTCTCTTAGTAAGTGCGGCTCTGTCTGCCATAATTGTCTTGAGCTGTTCCATTCTGATTTCATTGTTTTCCTTAATTTTTGCCATTTTTAATGGTAAGTTCTTCTCTTTGTGTTGTTTTATTTCGGCACTTATTGATTTAACTTTGTCAAAAGAATTGACCACTTTTGCTATGTGACTATTTTTGGTATCTGTAATACCTCTAAAAAATTGTTTGTTTATTATGAAATGAAATGAAATGAAAATATCTTTATTCAAGTAGGCTATTACAAGCACTTTTGAATCGTCCAAAAAACTTTTTTCCCCTACCACTTGTTCAGGACGTCTTTTAGCTGACAAGAAGAACAAGCGAAAGAAACTTATCAGCTTTTTATCATAAGTAATGACATTTACATAAATCATGTCATTACCAAAATAATATGTATTATCAATTTATCACAATAGTAAATACAACTTTCAAAGTCTGTAGGACATAAGTTGAACATATAATTAGTCTTTATAGAACAAAGCGAAGGCTATTAATTCCATGCATTGCGATCCTTAAAATAATCATCAACTTTATAATAGCCTTTACTCACAAGTATATTCTTTACATGAATTTGAAATTTATTTATGGGTAGGTCAATTACATTTTGTGGAACTTTATTGAACATAGCAATACATTTACCCAGAAATGATCCTCTGGTTTTTTGAAGTCTGAAGCTTGGAACGGCAAGTTTATCTTTATTTCTTGTGTTAAGATTATGAACACTACTTTTTTTTGTGAAGGAATCGTAATGTTTTCTTGTATACATAATATTCTCATAGATGTATTGAGAGGCAACAGTCAGAATATTTATTTCTTTAAATATTTCTCTTAGAGATTCCCTAGACCGTAAATTATATATAGCACGGACAGCTCTCTTTTGTAAAATAAAAACATCCTGAATGCTAGCCGCAGAACCCCATAACAATATACCATACGTCATTACACTATGAAAATAACTAAAATATACCAATCTTGCCGTTTCAACATTTGTCAAGAGTCTAATTTTCTTAACAGCAAAAGCTGCAGAACTCAGTCTACTTGACAAGCTATCAATATGAGGATCCCATTGCAGTCGGGAATCTAGTGTAATACCAAGGAACTTTGTCGATTCTACTAACTCAACTTTTTCACTATTTACATTTATAAGTGTACTGACATGCCTCACATTAGGTAATGCAAACTTTATGCATTTCGTTTTATTTGAATTGAGCTTTAAATTATTATTATCAAACCACTGTAGAACGTTGTCGAGAGCATTATTTACATCGTCAAAACAATCATTACCCCTCTCAACTTTAAACAGTAAAGAGGTGTCATCTGCAAATAATACTGTCTCGCACAAATTCTTCGTAAAGTGAGGAAGATCATTTATATAAATTAGAAAAAGCAATGGTCCTAATATCGATCCCTGAGGTACGCCCATAGTAACTGGTGCCCCTGCAGATTTCGCTTCATTGATTACTACCTTTTGAATTCTAGCAGAAAGATATGATCTTATTAGATGAAGTGAATTTTTCGTCACACCATAATGTTCTAATTTCCCCAACAGTGTTTCATGACTAACGCAGTCGAATGCTTTTGATAGATCACAAAAAATGCCAATAGCATCTTGTTTATTCTCCCAAGCATCATAGATATGCCTCAGAAGTGCAATTCCAGCGTCTGTTGTACATTTACCTCTGCTAAAGCCAAACTGATTTTGGTGAAGTAATTTATTTAATGAAAAGTGTGCAAGCAGTTGATTGTACATCATTTTCTCAAATACTTTACTTAATGCTGGTAGAATAGAAATTGGTCTGAAATTACTAGGATCAGACTTGTCGCCTGCCTTGAAAAGTGGGATTATTTTACCATATTTCATTAAATCAGGAAAAGTTCCTTCATCAATGCACTTATTAAAAATAAAAGTTAATTGAGGTGCTATAGCTGGTATTATAGATTTGATAACATAAGTTGAAACGCCCCAAAGATCTTCGGTTTTTTTGACATTAATACAATTAAATGTTTTAATAATTGAGCAGACGTTAACGTGTCTAAAATAAAATTCAGTATTGCACTTATCAACAACTGACTCTAGATGCGTAACCGCAAGTTTAGAACATGAACTAAGATTTCTTGTGATTTCTATTGGTGTCTTAGAAAAGAATTTCTCAAATGTCTCGGCAACCGCTTCATCTGTTTTAATAATTTTATTGTCAACCTCTAATGAGTATGTGCGCATATTACTTTTATTTTTACCCGTTTCTTGATTTATGATAGTCCAGGTTGTTTTTATTTTAATAAAACAATTCCAGAACTTTAACACTAAAATCAGAGATCTAATATATTGATTAAATTGACGCGAAAATGTCCCGTTTTCAGAAATGGCGTGAAATTTTTTGTTGATTGGACAAAGCAAGGAGAAGGGATAGGCGACAAGATAATATTAGCACAAGTCTTCGTGCGAAATAAATTAATTATTTCAATTACTTTTTGTTTAATGTCTGAAGCCTGCTTTGAAACGCAAATGTTCGTTTCTTGTTAGATAAATTAATTACAAAGAAACTAAATATTTATCCAGCAAACATCAGATCATCCTAATAGAATTCAAACAGAAATTTAAGGATTGTCATCCCCACCGCGGGGTTTGTCAAACCGCGGGGTTTACAAGAATCTTTACGCGGGCGGTAATGAAAAAGCATCGTGTGACTTCACATTTAGATAATCTAAATGTCAACGTTTTTTTAAGAGTTGTTACTCATCTTATTGAAATGTGACGTCACAAATCAAAATGTCACGTGACTGATCGTTTTCGTGGAATCTAAAGAATCTCATCTCATTATCATAACCTTATGATATTGAGCATATAATCCTATGATTTTGCGTTTCCCAAGCGCGTCCGCAGGCCCCTTGGTATCAGCGAGCATGTGTGGGGATTAATAGAGCCCTTAGTAACACGATTCTAAAAACATTGTTTTAATATGCATGCAAATCCAACATTCGCTCAGGTTGACTGGTAGAGAATGCCCTTGGCATTAAGTCCGCCATTTGTATTAGTTTTTTTTTATTTAATGCAATAAAGAGTAAATAAATAAATAATCTTTTATTCAAAACAACACGTTTTTATACATTAACTAATAATCTGACATTTTTCGTTACAAATTAGCATTTAAATTATTGTGAGCCCCTTATCCCAAAACTAAAATTAAATCTGTTTTTAGGAAGTCAGTGATTCCTCTTATCTAAAGGAACATTTTGCAAGCATCGTTTTAATATTGGTAGAACTTTGTGTACGTGTGTGTGTGTGTGTGTGTGTGTGTGTGTGTGTGTGTGTGTGTGTGTGTGGGTGTGTGTATGTGTGGGTGTGTAAGTGTGTGTGTGTGTGGGTGTGTGTATGTGTGTGTGGGTGTGTGTATGTGTGTGTGTGTGTGTGTGTGTGTGTGTGTGTGTGTGTGTGTGTGTGTGTGTTTATATCTATATTCTATTTGGTTTGCCTACTTTAACATGTCTTCTGTTTCGTGATAGTTAAATGACAATAAAAAACTTTTGATAAAGGTGTGCTTGGTACGTGAAAATATTGGTTTAATTTCATTTACTCTACTATACAGTTTTAAACTTAGCGCGTTGTATTGCTGTTTCGCCCATGAAGTTCGACTTTTAATTTGATGGAACTCTTGACCTCCTCAATGAGCTTATTCCAATTTCAAAAGACTTGTTTTATTTGCCCCACCTCAAACCGAAATGCAATATGCTATTCCTGATTGACACAGACCCTTACAGATAATAAAAATATTATTTTAAACCACACAACCTCTTGAAGACAAATATCAACCTACCAACCTTTGCTGTGAGGATCTGAATTCAGACATTTCAGTCGAGTTTGTCTTCACGAACGAACGAAGTCGAACTTGCACTCCCAAATATTTGACAGTATTCACAACTTTTATTTTATTTCAGTATTGTGTTATGTTTTAAGTATGTGCAGTGCTTATTTGCATGTATAGCGTGCACGCCACTAACTTCGAGTCCACGTCCATTAAATAGTCCGTTTATTGTTTTATTTAGTATGAGAAGGGGGGGGGGGGGGGGCATAATAATAATTTGTAGCTATAATGACTGTAAACGGAATAAATAGATTTGAATTTTGATAGAAAAACAATACCTGTATTTTAATACTGTTTCCCTCTTATCTTTTTCTTTCTCTTTAAGAGCTTCTTCTAAAGGAGGAATGCCTTCTTTAAATTCATTCAGTTCCACGAGAAACTTTTCGCCATCTTCCTCTAATTGTTTTTTCTTTTCTTGCAGAGAAAATATTTCTTGGACCTATTGGTATAAAGAATTGATTTACCATATAACAAAAATAATTATGGGAATCCAAATGATTTTTTTGAAAAGATTAATAGAAATATGTGAGCATCTTACCTTTTTTTGTAAGTTGAGAAGTTGTTCCTTAAGTTTGTTCTTTTTATCGGCCATTGTTTGTAATTTTTTATTATGGGCATTCAGTTTCTTCTGTGATGACTTAATTTTAGTTTTCAAAGCAGATATTTTCTGTTTGAGATCAGCTTGCTTTGCCATCGCATCATCTAAGGTTATGCTCGTTTCTAACTCGACACATTGAGATTTTGCTTTTTCTAACTGAAAGTATTGATCAAACAAATATATGAAACAAGTACATGAAAAATTTGATAGTTTTGTTAGATTCCTGGTAACTTGGTTGGAAAAGCACTCGTTCCATTTACCAAAATAGATACCTCATTAATCCTATATCTAAAATAGTTACAATAGTTTTAGTCAATTGCACAATATTGATTCTTAATTGAACAATCTAATACTGCAATTAGAAGAATGAAGTTTCAAAAGCTTAATTTTATTTTACCTTATTCCTGGAATTTAAGTATATTATTGGAAAATAACTTTAACACTCATTAACAATATACTCACACTTTTGGAAATGGTACCAATTTCTTGAACAGTTCTATCGAGCAGTGGCATGTCGCTTTGGATTTGTTTTGCCGTTTGCAACTTTTGATCTGGTTCAAGGAGAGTCATTGACAGTTCTTCACATTCCTCAGATAATGTTGTTATTTGCTATGCAAAAATTTAAACAAAATGGTTAATTCGTTTACACTACAATAATAAAGTACGCTCAAGTGATTCATCTTCTTAGTGCGTTTTACTTTGACTTAAAAGTAAAACTAAGTTATATGTTTATGAGATCAATTAAATTGAAATACAAGCCTAGTTAAAGTGTATATAATGGGGCATTATTAAGATTAATTAAATTATAGTTTAATGTTACAGCAATATTTTTACTGGCTTTCTGTTAGCCGCTTCATATGCATGGTCCTGTGTTATATACATATGTACCTTATAAATTTACCTAAATAGAGTGATTCACTCTATATTTTTAAAATCCTAAAATACATACTTTCTAAATGCAACACAATCAGGATATTTTTATACCTTTTCAATGTCGTTTAATCGCGTCTCCAGCTGTGGTATATCCTTCTCTTTAAGAGTCATCATCTTCTCATTTAGCGATTTCATGCTTAGTAATTCATCTTTCTTAGCAGAAGTTTTTTGTAATTCCTCTGTCACTTTTTCTAATTTTGCCGGCACATTCATAACTTGTGTGGTCAATTGTGATATCAAATCTGTTACCTGTAATGTTTTTTCTATTGTATTAATTATATACATATTTAAATTGCAGAACAATTTTTTTTTAATATATAATATTATCACTTACCTCCGATTCAGCATCAAATCCACGATTGCATAGAGGACAACAATTATTGTCTTTCAATTGGCCTTTATATTTAGCAATTATGAACATAGACGACTGAAGTACATTTTGTTCATCCTGAAACACAATTATTAAAGTAATGATTGTTTTAAACACAAATTGGAATGTTTTGTTTTATGAAAAAATCATATTAACCAGGAATGGCTACATGCAAAAATGTCCTTGTGTTACTTGTCATTAATAAAGAATAAAAATATTTATTTCCAATTGTGCCTTTTCTACTAGAAAAGTAGACAGTCAAATTAAACTTCTTACACAACATTGTTAATATTTTTTATACCAGTGTTACTGACCACACGACTACAACGATCTTAACCTGAATTCGTATTCACTCATGTGTCCGAATTCAGGTAATTAAGTAAGATTTTTAAAGAATCGCAGGGCAGGTTATGAAAAAAAAAATTTTACAAAAAGAAATCTCAACATGGGAATATACCTGCAACTTCTCTACATTTGTGGTGATTTTCGACAATGTGGCCTCGTATGACTGTGTTCCACAAGCTTTATACATTTGATCTTCAGCTTTAGTCAGTTCATTCCGTTTTTCAGTAAGCATCTCTTTTACATGTTTCCTCTCTGTTTCTAAAGTAGTTTGTTTGATTTGCTTTTCTTTTTGTTTTTGTTTTATAGATTCAACTTCAGCTTGGATATTATATTCAAACTTGTTAACAGCAATAGCAAAGTCTTTTTCAGGCATGGTACCAAGAAGTTCAGATAAAGCAGACTTATGTTTATTTTTTAAAACAGACGCTTGTTTCTCTTTTTGTTTCAGTGACTCTTCAATCATATCACATTCTTTTAATTTTGTACTTTGCTTTTGGAGTGTTGTTATTGTTTTATCAAGTTCGTCCAATTCGTTCTCATGTGTTTCCAATACTTTTTCATCATTATTTATCTCTAGTTGAAATTCTTCAGTATTCAATTCATTTTGTAAAAGTTGGTACTCCTCTTCAGCAGTTTTGAATTTTTGTTCTAAGGCCTCCATATTTACCTTAGATTGATTAGCTTGGGCGATTTCTTTATCTACTCTCTGGATATTAATCTCATTTTTTTTTATTTCAGATTCTTTGTTAGAGATCATTTGTTTACGCCTTGAAAGAGCATCTCTGCTCTCATCAACAAAGACTTGCATTTTCTTTTCTTCTGCATCAGCTACAGCTTTATGTTCTGCAAGGTCTTTCCTTAGACTGGACAATTTTTCAACAATCTTTTCAATGCCTTTCTCGGCGTCTTCATTTGATTCAATTTCAGTCATATCCTCTATTTCTGCTAGTTTTGCAGTTTCAATTATCATTGTGATTCTTTTGTCCATCTTTTCTTGATTTTGGCTTTCAAGCAAAATAAATTTATTAAATATTGCCTCATCAATACCTTTTTCATCAGCAATTTTCTGTTCATCCGCATTAAAAGTTTTATTCTTTTTGTATGATGCAGCAAGTTCCTTTTGCTTTTCTTTTGTAGTAGAGTCATAGTTACCTGTTAATTAAATATATTGAAGCAAATTCTTGATAACAACTAATACATTAGGGGGTAGTGACATGTTGAGTTTTTAGTTTTAAATTTGCTTTATACTAGACAATATTTAGTTTTAAGTCTGTGACGGTGATCAAGTCTGTAATGTTAGAGTACAATACATAATTATGTGCCATGTTAAGGACTCTGCAGACCTCCATTCATAAACTAATTGAAATGTAAATATCTTTATTCAAGTAAGAATCATGTACTCTGGGGTTCATACCAGAGATCGAGAAACACAGGTTAAACAAAATAGATGGGGGAGGCCTACACCAAAAGGCAAACAGAGATAACCAACGAAATAACATGACGTATATCACATATAATCATATATTGAATTAAATTAATTAATTAAGAAAATTGTGTTATGCATGAGTTAAATTGCAAAAATAAATAGTATATTGACATGTAAACTCAATGGTTCTCTGATTAAAGACTTATCATTATTAATAGAGATGTAACAGATAGTGGTTTGGCCGGATATCCAACTACCGGATAGTCGGCCTTTATCGTATTACTTAACCCGATCAATTTGATTTGAACCTATAGCGTCTCAAGTATAAGCATTGTTACCAACTCTGAAATCTAGCGGATGGTAAAAATATTTTTTTTTTTCAAAATTATGGAGTATTTTTAATTCGCCTTTTACCAGCAAAAGCAGAAAGTTTGTATATATTCACCACAATTTGCCACTTGTTAATTTTGAGTATTAAACTAATTAATAAATGTATGTAAAGTGGTATAATTTTCCTTGTGTAAAATAATGAGATTTAGGTTTATTTTAGTATCCGGTATCCGGCCGGATATTGACACCCTATCCGGTATTCGGCCGGATAGTCAAAACAAGGCCGGATATGCCGGATACCGGATAGTAACCGGATATCCATTTCATCTCTTAGTATTACCACAGAATTGATAACATTGTACCAATTCTATACTTAAATATTAAAAACTCATACTTATGCTTTCTTCCAATTCTTGAGTTGTTCCTTCAAAGATGGTTTTGATAACTTTTTTGAGTTCTACTTGTTGAGAGCGATTGTGTTCTAATCTAAAATACAAAATTGGTGTTCAATCCTTAACAAACAAGCTTTTTGCTATTGTACAATAAATTCACATGGTTTGATTCCTTCTAATATTTAAATCCAATTGGAAAATCTAGATTAAAGACACTCCCAAAAGAAAAAAAAATACAAAAGTGATATGTGGTGCATAAAACAGTGTAAACATATTTTATCTCACTATCAATTAGTTGCTAATGTCAAGGCCAATCAGAATGAATCAACTGAGACAATAGTAGCATCTCTCTACACATTCCTTCAGTTTCAAATACATAAATAGACAATAGTCCTGCATACTTAGCATGAAGAAATCTAGAAACGCTTTGTCTACACCAAAAGTCATTTTTCTTAGTTTGAGAGTGGAATAAATAACAATTGGGGTGCAGACAAAACATTCACGAGTTTGTAGTTAATTTTAATATTTAGACAAATATTGTTTTTTTACAATTGTTTCTTTTTATGATTGTCTTTTTACATGTAAAGTTACCAACATGAAATTGACTTCTTATGTTCAATACTCAATACTCAATACTCAAATGTTTATTGCAAAACCATAGTGTTACATTGATGTTACAAAAATGTTAAACAAAGATTACTTTAATTAAAAGAAATAAGTTTAATATTTATGGTATTTTGACAAAGAAACATGTGAATTGCTTACCTAGTTTTAATTCTTTCTTTGTTAGTTTCAAATGCCAAAATATTTTTCTCTAAACTAACAATAGCATTCAACTTTTCTGATACTGGTTTCAGTTCCTCAGTCAATTCATTAATTTTTATCTCATTCTCAGATATACGAGATTCTGTGTTTACAACTTCTAATTTTTTTTTATCCAGGTAATTTTTCTTATCTTTTAGACTAGCTACTTCAATTTCTGAAATGAACAAGTCACATTATAAATAATCAAACAACAATTTAATCAATGCCGTATTCAGCCATAGCGGGGATATACCAACATAAACAACACCATCCCCTCTTCAAAAATGCTTTCCAAATAACACAACACAATTAATCTGTGACTGGAGTTTTATTTGAGTAGTCAGAAGTGTGGCTTATTTTATTTATTGCATTTTTTTAACTCTGATTTGGAAAAATAATTTATTGTCTAAACTATAGCGAGACTGCAATTGTATGGGCCCCCAAAATGCACGGCCCCATACATCTGTTACTACATTTTGAGTATATTTCGATGGGTTTAATCCGACTTAAAAAAATACTAATAACCTCCTCCTTTTCGATGTGGAAGTCTGTTAATATGCATCACTAAACGCACATAGAAAAATTATTGTGCGTTAAGATATAAATTAAATATGCAATATGTGCGATTTAAATAGCCGAACTTTTTTATTGCATTGAGTTATATGAATGTCTGGCCATGATACTGTTAGAATTAAAAATAAAGAAAATGTTACTTTTGAATTTAGAATCTGTCTTTTTTATAGGTATGATTGTTAATTGTCTTTTCTTGTTTTTGCGTAAATACATTATAAAATATTTTCAACCTATCTATATCTCAAATATTTTTCTATACAGTTGCTTATAAAGCGCTATTTTTTTTATCCATTGTAAACACCGAAAGTGAGTCTTTGGACACGTGTTAAATAAAAATGTACTGAAATCCTTTACTGCACACGTGCTTAAAAGAATTATTTATTTTTTTGACGGAGCACCAAAGAGAATTAAAAAAAATGGATGAAAATATGTCAAACTTTAGAGGCAAAAGTATTTCAAGGAGGCTAAAACGAATATTTTCAAATAAAAATGTATGACACGAAAACATGTTCAAATATCACATTTAATTTTAACAAATAATTTTTATCTTTAATACATACTTAGTTTTATTAACCTATATATTTGTTTTATTTCCTCGCAAAAAACATTGAAAAATGTAGTAAGAAACTTGAGCGTACTTGCTACATGGCTAAACCGGCCCAGTTTTTTAATGACAAAGAAGGAAATCAAGTGTATTTGTGCAGTGGCACCTTTATATGAAGGGCTACAAGATAAAAATATTGAATTTAAACATACTAGGAGTTTACTCATTGTGAAAATTGTCTTTCCTTACCAAGTATTTTTAAAGACTGTGCATAATCTTTCCTTATCTTTTTTAGGCGGTCAAAACAGTTGCTATATCGATCAGCCTCAAATATTTCATCAAAACGTTCTTTAACTTTTTTCCCTTCATCTAGAGGCCAGCTGGAATCTTCTTGGTGGCAAAATATTACAGAATTCAAGATAGCTTTGGAAACACCTGTATCAATACAAATTTTTTATTTTTTTTTTAAATTTATGATACCAATTTATTCCATGGATATAAGTAAATTTATTTTTTAAAAAATGAATCATCAGCTCATCAATACACCTAAAGATTTTATTAGTTTAACAAACCTAATTCTTCAAACATAACAAAATCTAAGTCTGCACATCTTGAGGATATATCCTTAGTTTTCCCTGCTTCATCAATCACTGACAAAAAAGAATCTAATGTTTGAAATTTCGTTTTTTTCTTTTGTAATGCAGTAACTCTCATTGATCTTGAAACTTCAAGTTGTTTGTCCTTGGCATTTACAATCTGAAACAATACACTTACTACCTGAATCTTGAAAACCGGCTTCAGAACTTTTCTTCCTTTCAAATGAATTTAGGAAAATTTACCATCACTCATGTGATATTATTCAATACCAATGTTTGAGACTACATACCTTCAATTTTACTTGAGCCGAAACTTCATTGGATCTGTTAACTTTTGCGTCATGAACAAAACATTCATTGCGACTACCAGGAGGCATTTGCCCCGTAATTGCATAACGTAAACATTCAATAATAGTAGTTTTACCACAGCCGTTTTGGCCTAATATTAGAGTCAGAGGTTTTTCAAAAGTTATCCTTTGTTCATCGATATCATCAGGGCCGAAACTTCTTATACCCCTTATAGCTAAAGATTTAACTCCAGCCATAATGAGTTTGCTTAATAATAAATTGGTAAACTGATATAAACAATTTTCGCGCCAGTAAAATTTACACCAAAGCACACCACGCCTCCCTCCCGGCGTTCATAAAATGGCATAGCGTTTTTCCATGACATTAATAATAGATAATTTGACATTGACATTTGAACAGAACAATTCCTGTTAATGATCTGTGAATAACATTAGTAATACCGCCCAATATAATAGGTATATGTTAGTTATGAATATATCGACATAAATACATGATAAGTACATCGCTATTGATTGGAAAAAACCCTTCGATCAACAAAAAGAATCACAGAATGAACAATATTTTTATTTTCAATATATATTGAATGTAAATATTATATCATAGAGATACTTCACCAAAATCAGTTTGGCTTTAGCAGAGGTAAATGTACCACAGACGCTGGAATTGCACTTCTGACGCATATCTATGATGTTTGGGAGAATAAACAAGATGCTATTGGCATTTTTTGTGGTCTATCAAAAGCATTCGACTGCGTTAGTCATGAAACACTGTTGGGGAAATTAGAGCATTATGGTGTGACGAAAAATTCACTTCATCTAATAAGATCATATCTTTCTGCTAGAATTCAAAAAGTAGTAATCAATGAAGCGAAATCTGAAGGGGCACCAGTTACTATGGGCGTACCTCAGGGATCGATATTAGGACCATTGCTTTTTCTAATTTATATTAATGATCTTCCTCACTTTACGAAGAATTTGTGCGAGACAGTATTATTTGCAGATGACACCTCTTTACTGTTTAAAGTCGAGAGGGGTAATGATTGTTTTGACGATGTAAATAATGCTCTCGACAATGTTCTACAGTGGTTTGATAATAATAATTTAAAGCTCAATTCAAATAAAACGAAATGCATAAAGTTTGCATTACCTAATGTGAGGCATGTCAGTACACTTATAAATGTAAATAGTGAAAAAGTTGAGTTAGTAGAATCGACAAAGTTCCTTGGTATTATACTAGATTCCCGACTGCAATGGGATCCTCATATTGATAGCTTGTCAAGTAGACTGAGTTCTGCAGCTTTTGCTGTTAAGAAAATTAGACTCTTGACAAATGTTGAAACGGCAAGATTGGTATATTTTAGTTATTTTCATAGTGTAATGACGTATGGTATATTGTTATGGGGTTCTGCGGCTAGCATTCAGGATATTTTTATTTTACAAAAGAGAGCTGTCCGTGCTATATATAATTTACGGTCTAGGGAATCTCTCAGAGAAATATTTAAAGAAATAAATATTCTGACTGTTGCCTCTCAATACATCTATGAGAATATTATGTACACAAGAAAACATTACGATTCCTTCACAAAAAAAGTAGTGTTCATAATCTTAACACAAGAAATAAAGATAAACTTGCCGTTCCAAGCTTCAGACTTCAAAAAACCAGAGGATCATTTCTTGATAAATGTATTGCTATGTTCAATAAAGTTCCACAAAATGTAATTGACCTACCCGTAAATAAATTTCAAATTCATGTAAAGAATATACTTATGAGTAATGGCTATTATAAAGTTGATGATTATTTTAAGGATCGCAATGTATAGAATTAATAGCCTTCGCTTTGTTCTAATTATATGTTCAACCTATGTCCTACAGACTTTGAAAGTTGTATTTACTATTGTGATAATACATATTATTTTGGTAATGACATGATTTATGTATATGTCATTTCATAACTAATAATAACATATATAAAGCACTAAATAAGCTCTAGATGGCGACTTTACCAAAAGTTGTTTTTCCAGGAAACGAATGAACCAAAGATAGTCATTTCCGTTCCTTTTAACTAACATTTTAAAAATCTGAAATTTGCAAGAAAAAGTTCAAATTAAATAGAAGTTATTAATACAAAATATTTTTTAGATTACATTTGAAGGTTTTCTTTTTTGCTTTTTTCTTTATTATAAACATTTTACGACTCTTTTATATTTTTTGACAGGGCTTGCACTCTACAGCCTGTCGACCTATAGATGGATGAGACATTAGTACGAAAAAGAATGATTTTTTTTTCTACATGCATGTAGTATGTCTGTCCACTAAATGCATGGCATTTGATAATTAGATATCAGATCAGATTTTTTAAAATTAGTTTTTAACTTGTAGAACAGTATGTATCATCAAAATCGACTTTGTAATTTTGAATTATTATATTAAAATTCAAGAAATGAGAAAAGCATGTAAGTTGCTTTTTTTTAAATTACTGTCGTGTTCCCTATTTCTTGAATTTTTTAAAAAGCTTAGTAAATGATTCTTTCTTTCTGTATTTCTTTTTGGCAGTTCTTATCAGTAGGAGCGGCAAAGTATTCTGTTATCAGTAAATTACTATAAAGTACTCGATACCTACAGGCATCGATATTTTATGTATCTTTCTAATACTACTTTGACATGACAGCTGATGACGTCACAGGCCAGTAAACAGATTCGTGATTGGTTGTGACGACGACCAATTATAGGACGTTTTCGTCGTTGAATTAATTCCTAAGAATATTGCATTTTCGTTACGTTATTTTACTAAATCTAAACATGTTTTTTCTGTAGATGTTAAGAAATAAGCTTTATTAGATTATTATCTATCAGTATAACCACAAAATGCAACTTATTTTCGATAGTGTCAAATACTCTATTGTTTCCTTCCGAGCTAGGTGTTGTTAGCCCGGGGACCGCGATCCAACCAATGTAGGTTGGACGTTCTATTTATGTTAATTGGCAATGAACCTGATTTTGAGCGATGTAGGTTTCTTTGTTCTAATTGCCTTGTAGTTATTAATTTATGATCTTTGTATTGGTACAGCGCCATCTCATTACTTGCTGTTGAAACTTTTTGCAGTTCGTCTTGCTATCGATTGCTGTGACATTGCTAGTTTTTCTGCTATCGATTGTTGTGGCGATGTCAGTGCGATGAATTAGATGTCGCTACATATCAGTCACCATACAAGTATATAGTACTTGTGGTGATATAAATTCTTTGGTTTATACCAAAAAGTAGCTTTGATTAAAACGCATATACGACTATTCTATCATAGATAGTCATGTAAAGTTTTGTTGAATAAAATCTATTAATTTTTCAGTTTATTTAATAATCTATAAAGGTTTATTCTACTACAGTACTATTATACAAGTACTCAAATTCTTCGAATTATTTACCGTACACTGCAAAAACTCATTTAAATATTGATAAAATATTAAAAAAAAAACAACTTTTGTCATTGTTTTCCCTATATCAAAAGTTGAATGATTATTATCCATCAAATAAAATACAAAGTGTAACGATCGAGGTTTTACCTTAATCTCGATTATATTAAAATAAAAATGCTACAATTTTGTTTCTAATATAAAAATCAAAACGATCATAATTTTGAGCTGAAAATGATAAACCATAATGTTTACATTACAGTAGTAGAAATTGTGTTAGTTTTAGATGAAATTGCAAAACTTGTATGTAGTATTTCGACTTTGAAACGTTCTAGTATGTGACATTCACTTTAGTGAGTAAAAACAGGACTCGTGTCGCGTCGCTACTCTTTCTTGGTCTGTGACTAGTACTTCTCCTTGGAGTAAAAGTGTTCTGTCTGTGCCAGTACCAAAGAGTACAGTAATAATACGGAAAGCCAGTACTCAAAGAGTACCTACATGCCAGTACCCTGTGCCAGTACCACATTACTCTTTGGCCAGTACCTAACAAGAGGTACATGTAATTGAAATGTATTTAGCTCAATCTTAGATCTTTCTAACGAATATTTCTGAATTTGTGTTACTATTCGTTTATTGTAGTTGTTACTTGTTGAAATATCTATTGAAACAATTCATTATTTACTTATTTTTCAATTACTGTAAGTAAAAACGATTCATGTAATAATCTATTCTATTGTTTATGTCATAATTATTAATATTTTGTATTCTATCCTATCTTATAAATAGTTTTTAATGTCAATAACATATTTTTTATTAATTGTAAATGTGTACTAAAGATTTTTTAGCTGTTTACCGTTTATAATGATATTTTTTTTCTCGTTCTGTAGGCTGTGTTCAAACAATGGCATCAACAACTATGATTGAGACGATTAGTATTGTGAGACCACTAAAGGTAAGCGCTTTGATTAAGTATATGTAAAAAGTATATTATATTTTATCAATTAGGTTTATTTGAAAATGGAAATAGCAAAAGGAAAAACAGGAAGACCAAGGTTAAGCTATATATCAGAAGTGATGTCTACTTAACTTCTGATATGTGTTTTTATTATTTTATTTTTTATATATGTTGTGCCATTTCAATAATTTAAGACGCATTATATCTACCCATGTGTTTCTTCAACCATGTCAAAGCTCAAATAATAATTGTGGATAGTTTTACGGTTATAGCAATAGACTTCTGCAAAATACTTGTATTTATGTTACTAACATTATTAATAGACATCACATACATTGATCAGATTCCAAGATAAGTAGCTAAAACCTACATATCCTGGAGAATTTGTAACAATGAACCATAACCCAGACCAGATCACAAACAACATAGAAAAGTTAATTTTCTTTCACCATTGGAGCATAGTACAAACTTATGCTTATTTGTAGATGAGCTACCCTAATAAGAGGTCATTCATTGTTTCATTATCAATGCAACTGTCTGATCAATGTGAAATGATAATTGCATGCATAGCTATTATCATATCTTGGTGGTGTTATTTCTGATTACAACCATAGGCTAGTTGACAACTTTTTTTATTTTATAAATAAATAGTCTTGTTAATGTCTGAGAAATAATGTAGAAGTAACAGCGTTAGCCGAGAATGCTCCCAACAAATTCAAGGCACTAATTAACTTGACACAGTGCTACAGTAGCGAAAAACGTATGGGTGTCCAAATTAGTGACTTCAAATTTGTTTTGTTAAATATTTATAAGTTAAAATGGTTCATACATAATGGTCCTTACCTATGAATTTGGTATTTGGTATGAGAGAAAAACCCTTCATTATTGTGCCGGTTAAGTAATGTAACGCAGCATTCGAAGTGCGTTTACCGGTTTGCTTCACTCAATTCGTGAGGTACCCACCTTTCAAGCTTTTTAATCTTTCCAATTTGCTTCAAGTGAATAAAACAGTTTTATCACTAACACCACAGCCTGCAGCTAACTCTGACGTGGTTTGCGATGGATCCGCGATCTGCTTTCACAATAGCCTTCAATTCTTCAATATTAACTTGGGTCTCCGTCTATCCACGGGGCTTGTTCTGCAGGTCGAAATTTCCAGAACGAAAACGTTGGAACCAAAAACGCACTGTGTTTTCTATTGCGAAACAACCACCATACACATCATTAACCCTTTGAGCCGTTTCACCAGCACTGCAACACAATATTTCAAGTTTTCCATTTTTTATACACAAATAAATAAATAAATAGAAAAAAAAAAACAAATAAATGCCGCCTAACAAAACACAAATACATGTGAATGGCTGTATAAATTTGAATTTGGAATTCCCAACCAAGGAGGAGAAATTTGTGATTAAAGTGGCCAAAAACGACAAAACGCCAATTTCATATGTAAGGACCTAATATTTCTGAAGATAAAACATTAACCTAATATACATATACCAGAAATCATGTACCAGCCTGTGCACTATATAATACATATTTGGTTTAACAAATCCTGTCTTCTTTAACATTCTCTTGAATAGTCTCTTTTGAGATAACTATTACTTAACATTTTTTTTTATAGTTTGAAGGTAATTCTGCTTTTTATAAAAAGTTTTTATTTCATGCTTTTAGGTGATATTGATATTTTTTATGTAATAGGTAACATTGAAAATATTAAATATCTATGTAAATAAAAACATTTAACATAGTGAAAGTCTAGAATGGGAGATTTTGTTTATTTGCTTGACATATTTTTTTCCAATAATCTATATTCATATTTTAAACAGGAAAGATTTGATTGTTTGTTTGTTTGCATTGTACAGGCCCTGAAATTATTGGACCGATTTATAAAAGTCTCATATACGGGAAGCTACATAATACGTGGCGGACATAGGCTATAATTTACGCAGGCGAAGTCGCTGGGAATATAGAAATTGATTCAGAATTCAAAAAGAAATCGATGAACATACCTACCCATATAATCTGTGACCTACCCCTATCATCTATCTATAACTTACGATTTTGAAGTCGGTTAAGAATATAAGAAAACCAAACATTATGTGAGCGTATTTTCATCAAAGTATAATCTGTAAATCTTAAAAATAAATATGTTCGCAATAATATTAATATTTCAGTGCATGTATAAGTGCAACAAAAGAGATTAATATTAACTTTTTGCTTTATTGCATACTCTGTTGATCTAATTTAAAAGCCAATATTACCTCAACATATTTATATGAATACTGATAAGTGCGCGAAGCCTCGAATTGGATTAACGTAACTTACCAGTTAGCGTGTCGTTAGTGAAGATCGGTATCATGATGCATACGCACGGCAACTTAACTGCGAGCTATCTCTGGCAGCCAGGGGAGTTCGCCAGACGAATGCTGGGCGAGCGGCCTTCTCCTGTACCGCCGACCAGAGAACTTTGGCCTCATCCTCAACAGCCTCTTAGTATCAGCACGTTACATGTCGCTTACATGCAAGATGACTGTCTGCCAAGAAGATCCGCAACTCTGCCTACACAAACCTACACACTTACCACTGCCCCAATCGAACAAGAGTGTTCCAAGCCGCGTGTTTGCACCGTCGGTACTAACACCGATCCACCGCTCACTGTTTTTACGAAGTTGAAGAATATTTTCAAGAAGCAAGAAGAGGTCCCAGTCGGTCTACCGCCACCCGGTCGCCTGACAGCAGTTCCCCGAGAAGTTGCAATGCCTTCGAAAGAGGAAGATAACGCTGCCAAAAAGGCATTTAATGGGTTAAAAAAGGCTATCTCTGGAGCGAAATATCGTATTGCGCCTGGAACAGAGACCGTAGACAGTCCTAAAATAGTCTACGACATACCGAAGCCTGGAGATCGAATGTCAACCACTTTTGGTGTACGGGAATCTAGAAGATGGAAATTGCCATCTAAAGCAGCATGCTCACGTCGCCTCCGCGCCTTCACCGCGTGGTGTGAACGACGTCCTCGACGGCCACCTAGACGGCAGTCACACCCGCCGCGTTTGCAGATTACTCAGGTGTGAATGTGAATGAAGATTTTGAGACTTCTTATTAACATAAATTAACATGTGCTGTTTGTTATAATATTCGAGGATCATCATACGATGTTGTGATAATTACATAAGCGCTAGGGCATGTCATGTTTTTGTTGTAGTGCGATCGAACTTGAAGTAGTGTTTTGGCTAATAAATGTATCTCTGTAATCTGTGTTTTGTTGAGCGCGAGCTGGCGGGTCGACGGGAGACTTCTAGGGCGGGGGTTGGGTTGGGCGGTCGGCGGCGGCAGTCCCGCGCTAGGCGCCGCGTCGCCCGGTCCATAGAACCTGTTTTTAGTGGCCCGCCCTCGGAACCGAACGAATCCTTTCACCACCTATCTATCCTAAACGATAATTCCAAACTCTACATTTGAAACTACTCTTTGTTTATAATAAATCAATTTATAAACAACGATATTAAATACGTGTTTTATCGTGCGGAAAGGTTGGTAACGGCTTTTTTGTGTGGAATCAGAAAACCGACAGCAACGTGAACGCGACCCAATGCGCAATTCTCACAAACGACACCAGAAAAAAATTGGGTCGAATAAGCATTTTGTTTTGGGAGGCGTTCCCATTTGTGTTTATATGATTCCGAATAGTTCAGACTCTAAATATTAATATGAGATATCCGCATTTACATTTATATTGTAACATTATTAGTATACACCGGTATTGATATACCTATTAGTACAAGCGGTACCAAATATAAATGTAACGTTTGTTTCAAGAAACATTTAATTTCTAATTAGTCAATCATTTACTTGTCGTTCTGTTTATATCCAACAATTTTAAATCTACCTATTTAGGATTCTGTTAAAATAATTATTTAAATTAATAAATCTCAATCCTTATCTAAGTTATTCTAATGGTGCCCATTCTGTTGTACTTCTCTCTTCACTAAACTGCAAAAATTTGGGTTCTTAAAATTTTTATAGTTACATGTAACGTTCTGTCATTTTCGTTTGACTACATTTAGTTTGTGCAACAGAATTGCTATCAATATTCATCTAATAGCTAACACACTAACATTATCGTTTACGTGATTCGACATCGAGTTGAAAATACAAATATTTTTTGCTTAAACCTGCAAAATGAATTCATGTTGACCTCGATGGTAAAGAGATACCGATAGTACAGACGATAGTCTTTCTTTAACATGACCTTATATTCCAGTTTCTTAATAATTCAACGTAATAAGAAGTTATACACATCACATTCCATTTTCAAAATAAAAAAAAAACTGGTTGTGTTTATGGTAGAACATATTGTACAATCAAAGAAACATTCATAACGAAAGTTTGTTTGCCCATTAATGCATCAAAGGCACCTGTGGAATGAAATTTTAACATTTGGCTTTGTTAATCTATTGCATTGTTTATTGATTCCTTTCGAAACCGGAAACGTTAGGTGATGGGTAAAATTTTAAGTAAACTTTCGAAAATGTTATATGAAAATTCTATATTATTATAAACAAATCATGAACGTTAGTAAATAAATCGTACACATAGACGCTATTTAATAAATTTTTTCAGTCTCCATTTAAGTACATACTTCACCTAATTTTTGTTCAGCTCGTCTCGTCGTGGTCACGCCAGCGTGCGACCTCATTTGTAGGTTTTTATACCTACCCCAGAATGCGCGAACAACACGATTGTGACCTAAATCCATTCAAAGGAAGGGGTAGCTCTTATTACTGTCTAACTCGTATATTTGATGAATGAGTGGCGACTAAGCCTGATGCATTGATTTATAGTTCAACAGCTATAGGTACCTATTAAGGTTAATTTGGATGGTACGACGCTTATACTTTATTAAATTACTTGTTTATTTTTGTTCTCCTTGGGGTCAACCAATAACTTTTCTTTTCACAACTCACAATCAACTCAAAGTCGCGATCGTGTTAAAGTTTGATCCTCTTAAGCGCCGAATATACTGCTTATTAGTAACATATTCTTTTTTGACTCCTGTCGACAATTATATTGAGCGCAGTCTGATAAAAGCGTTGATTGTGTGCCTTTATGTACCATAATTATTTTATTAAATGTGAAACTGTAAAAACAAGATAAGTAAGTCACCTAAAGAAGTCACAAGTCCAAGGGGTCACATTTCGTTAATTAATCGAAAACTTTAACTCGTTTTGGTAAAAGTAGGCATTAAATATGCAATAAATCATTATACGTCTGGTCTGTTAAATGTTCAATTATAGTCTATGAATAACCGGAGAGTATCGTGCCATGTGCGTGTGTAAAGCTGGGGACAATTTTTGATATCGTATTAGCACTGACATGACCTATCTACCCTTTTTTTTGTAATATCAATGCCTATCTAATAAATAATGGTTTCAAAATCGATATGAATGCTATTTTTGATATCTGTACAGTGAAGTCCACACAAAAAATAAATTTATCAAAACTCAACTTCATACTACTATTCCATTCATCTACCTACGTAAGTTATTCCTTCTGATTGCTTTACAGAGCGCTTAACAATACTAACTTTATCATTCTCGGAATCCGTTCTAATTTCGGAAGTTTACATTGGAACGAAGAGACTGATCTTGTCGATTAAATTGATAACCCCAAAATAGACATTTTTTGACTGATTAAGTCGTGGTGAGTGTGTGTGGTGGTCTGTGGTATTTGCGGTAGAGGTGGTGCATAGTATAGTGGACGGCGGGCCTGGCGCGTCGGTAGCGGTCGCATGCAGGGGCGCGCGGGCGCCGGCCCGGGCGGGCACCGCTCTCTCCCGCGCGCCCTCCCACCTGTTCTTCCACCGCCGCCACAGTTCGCCACTGAACAGGACGAGATGCCTGCCAACCAGATCGCTCAGGTGATTCACCACTGACGTACTTGAGACTGTTGTGACAACGCTGTTTGTCGACGCTGTTTTGGTTAACGCAAGATACCTATTTGTTATCGGGAGGTAGTGTGGCGTTTGTAATCCAATAATTTCATTTATTGTTAACGTAAATTTGTATAGAGACCGACAATTAGGTAAATCTCAAAGTTATCTGATTAATAATTAAATCATTGAAACCGTTTGTACGGCGTTTCACAAATCAGTAACTCAAGATTTAATATGTAACGTAGCTGTGTCGGTAATATATGCTGGAAGTACAAGCCATGCGACGGTGTCCCGATGGTTTGACCGTTTTAAATCAGGAGACAGGAGCCTTGAAAGTCAGCCACGCTCAGGGCGACCACCCGCAGTGAATGATGACGATTTGCGCCGCGAACTGCAGTTGAATCCGGATGCTACCACTCGTGAATTAGCGAAAGCACTTAAATGCAGTCACCACGCCGTGGAGCACCATCTGCATGAGCTTGGTTATCGAAAAGTTTTGGCTCGGTGGGTACCGCACATCCTTACAGACGCCAGTCGTGCAGTTGTCGCTATCTGTCAGTCACTTTTGCTGCGACCCCGACGTAAAGAGTTTTTGTCAGATCTGGTTACTGGAGATGAATCATGGATTTATTACGAGAATGATACACGTCGTGCTTTTTGGCTGCCTCGAGAAGAAACGCCACCAACTCAACCGAAGCCGAGTCAAAAGAACCGCAGAAAAATTCTGTTTTGCTGTTTCTGGGATGCGCAAGGCATACTGTTTTATCAGAGCGAATGTTGATTTTGAAATATGTATATTATTTTCTGATCTTGTGGGTGCCATCATGCTCAAAATGCTGTATATTTTGTATCTGTATGAATTAAAAGAAATGGCAACATGGTGTAGGTTAAAATCGCATAACTTTCAATAAACAAACTGAACTAAGATGCGGTCGAGTGCTCAATGTCTTTCAATGAGCAATACAATATGCAAAATTTATATTGTGATGCCACTGAAACAGAAGCAGAAACACATATCGAAACACTCAAGGGAGTGGCGGACTAACTCATCGGGGGTGTTGACACCCGTCCTCGCTAAAACTACGAAACTGGACATTAGAAAGATAAGGCAGTACAACCCCAACTTATGATTTGATCGAGGGAATTACCGCCCCCCAGTCCGCCATAAATGTGTTTGTGTTTACAATGACACATATGATAATGACAAATACAAAAAATAGATATTCAAAAAGTATAAAATTTATAATGAAAACTACAAAAGCCGATGGCCAGTGTGTCGTCTATACTGGTTGTCATTTTAAAAATTCGTTCACCTACGGGACCTGACATCATACGCGGTTGACATAGTTCATGATTCGAGTGAAAACAGTCAGTGTTCTATATCGTACTTTTTTATTCCTGTATAAATTCTTGCTAAGGCTTTTTCTTTTATCTAAATAGTCTACAATGTGTGTTTGTATTTTGCGTATAATTTCAAATAAAGAAATCAGTACGTCGCTAATTCTTTGGCATTAACGGGCTTGGTATAATTTTTTTTTTTATTATCTTCTTACATCTAGTCGCATTGCATTGCAGTTAATGTTGAAAGGCGTATTTATAATCATAAAACTGGTGCATACTCATACTTTATTATAATGCTTTTCATACTTGCTTACGTTCTTATGATTAACTACAAGTAGAACACTCACCGATGTCATACAGTTAGTTACCTTAGAAACGTGCACGAGCTTATATTCCCATAGGGCATCTAAACCAGATTGCTAGCATTGTATGAAGCGGAAATTGGACCCGCGTTCTCTTTTATTTCATATTCCCCATTGAAAACTTGATTATTTGTCGAAACTTCATTGGATAAAACTATACTGTTGAGATTTTATTTCTAGGATATTCATTCATTTCCTGTCGATGTCTGTGCCAATATATTCCTTTATCTACTGATCTGTGCCTATTACTATTTGCATATGGGTGTCATCTTTATTAACTTCTACAGATATTTTCTTCTACCTCACTCCTTAATAGAGCCGTTTTAAAATTAAGACGAAAAACTCTGTTTTTATTGTTCAAACACAAATTTCCAGATAAATAGTTTCAATAGGCTTTTCGAATGTTGCCTTTACAAATCCTCGTTCAATGCCTTGTTGACTAATAATGCTTCATTGGATACGTGCTGTGTTGTTATTTAAATCACATTAAGCTAGGGTGTTCCGATTGCTTGTTGTCCGAAAGTAATAATTATATCCGCACGTGAGAACGTTTAACATTCGATGAATGGAGTCCCTCCTGACGACAGACTCTTCCGGTCTATACGGGTAATTGGTTATGTATGTCCTTTCGAACGATTGCTTTTTATAGAAATAGTTTGGTTTAAATCTAACTTATTTTTAACTTTTGCTTTGAGAAGATCTTTAGGGTAATATTTTAAATCTACTCGTACTATAATACCAACAATTTAAAAATATTAAATTTCTCTAATTGGTATCATACCATTTGGAATTTCAAAAAGAATTTCCCAATTTCAGACATTAGC